CACATAATTTTTTTTACAAGGCATATTGAGCCAATCCCGGCTCTTCTTGCAAGGTGCTAATCAAGCAAGTTATGGAGCATAATTTCATTCTGAAAAATAGGACACCGAATGGGTGTAAAATTTTCTTCTTTGATGAGGTATTTCCCTCCCTTCCATAAACTGTCCATTTTTTTTTGGTTCACATTGAAGAATATATATATAAAAAACTCGTTTGCGATTTTGTAGTTAGAAAGCTCGAAGATTTTTGTCAACCCACCTCACGTGGACCCTATTTTCACTGCTATCCTTTCGGAATCAATAATGGTCTAGGAGACTATCGAGGATCCTTGAGGCTTTCTCTCAAGAAAGGGTATGCATTGCATGCATTAACTATCAATATTTCATATGTATACAATCTTATCTAATTCAAAAATCGCTCCATTGTAGTCATGAAGAAAGAACCGACGTCAATTATGCAGGCTATTTGCTCCTTCCCCCGAACAAACGGGTGACGATTAATTTCTTCAAAGTCCATTCAAAGAATGAATGATGATGCAAAGTGCAAACTAGGAGGTTTTTAGCAAACTTTACTAATGAACATCATTTATAGACAAATAAACGGACGCCAACCTCATCTTCACTCTAGTTTAACCAGCCTAATCAACGGTTGCAATGTGATAAAATATTAAAATCACAAACGCCTCCAAATCACCCCAACAAGAAACGGGTTGGATCTCGCTATGCCCGATTTGCCCTTGTAAAATTTTGTAATTGCAATTTTAACTAGAATAGCCATAAGATCGTAATTGAGAGTAAAATAATATAAATTAAATATTTTTTCAATTAAATTAGTATTTGTTGAATTAATAAAATTCTTCGGTGTTTATAATTCTTACAAACATGTACAGTAGAACCTCGATAAATTAATAACCTCGCTTAAATAATAAATTTTCCCGGTCCCAACTTGAGGACAACGTGCTAAATTAATAATTCGCTAAATTTATAAGATAATACACATTCGGAAATTTTAAGAAGCCCCATATAATATATAAATTAATAATGCATAAAAATAATTCTTAAATTACATGGTACAATACATATTTTATAGATTTATGAAGGCTTAATACAATATAAATTATCATCGTTTGTTTCTTATTGAAGTTTACATTACCATCAATCTCGTTCCTCAGTTTTCATAACATGGTTAGGACTTTCGGTATAGTTTTGTCACAACTCCACATAAATCGTTTTATACCATTGTTGCTTTAAGAGCTTCCGCTAATGAAACGGACTATAATTTGCATTGAACTAATGGTAGAATGAATAATATACACGTAAAAAATGCATTTATTGAAAATAATAATAAAAGTAATTTCATAAATTAATAAGTTATTAATTAATGTATAAAATAATAATTATTAATTTATCGATAAATTAATATTTCGCCAAATTAATAAAATTTTGATGGTCCCAATTGTATTAATTTATAAAGGTTTAATTGTATATAAGTAAATATATTTCAACACTCTAGCATTAAAATGAATAATTTAAAAAAAAAAAAATTAGACTAGATTTGGGTGGGGTGCGCCGGGCCGGTGCAGTAGTGCACGCATGGAAGGCCCATGAAGCAAACTTCCTTATGTTAGGGTTTCACTTTTTATATCCCACTTCAGAAACCGACATGGGAAAAAGAAAAAACCCTAGAAGTGTAAGGTAATTATTTTTTTTAGGATTCTATTGCCAACCTTTAATAAGGAAATATTATAATAATCGTGTATAAATAATATAGAATATAAATTTTAAACATTAACCAAAAAGAATAAGGCTGTGGCTATATGCAATACTCATTCCACTTGTGCAAGACCAAATTAAAGAAAGATTCCAAAAGATTCTATTTTATTAAGATGGAATGACAAGTATGCCCGTAAATTAAATTGGCTTTTTTTCTCATGTAAGACCAAATACAAATAATGAGAAAAAAAAACAAAAATCGACACCAAGGTGTCGAAAAACTATGCTACAAATCGACACTTAAGCGTCGAATTTCATAGGTAAAAATCGACATTGACATGTCGAATTTGTTGCACAAATTCAAATGTCAAATTTTATACCTAAAAATCGACATCTAAATGTCGAATTTTATACCTCAAATTCGACATCTAAATGTCGATTTTTACCTGTAAAATACAAAAAAACTCATAAATGCATACATTCTAAGGTTCTTCCATCGTAGAATCTTCTATTTTGATGTCTTCTGACTCCATACTTGTCATCTTTGTAAGATTTGTTGAGTTTTGATGATTTTGAATTTCTAGGTTTTGTGGGTTAATGGAGGAGGAAGGAGAAAGGTCTTGTGAGTTTTGGAAGATGGAGAAGATAATAGTTGTGGTCTTGTGGTTTTGTGGCCTTGTGATAGGGTTTTTTTGTGTTTTTGAATTTTTGGTCTTGCATATTTGGAATTTTTTATTTTTGTAATAAATAAGGGTATTATAGTATTTATACATTGAAAATTTTAATTTGGTCTTGCACAAGTGGAATTAGTCTTGCATATAGCCGCAGCCAAAGAATAATGGGCTCAAGGGTGGAACGAGAGCCTTGGCGAATAAGAAACCTAATAGATGATGCACTTAGATCCATTGAAGAGAGAAGAAGAAGAAAAAATGAAATCAAATATGTTCTCGTGCCTCTAAAAGGTTGAATCCAAATTTAGATTTATTATAATTTATATTACATGTTGAGACTATTCCAATTTTTTGATATAAATTTATGCAAATTTTATGCAGGCTCTCAGCACGTCAATTAGATGCTTCTTTTGACCATAATTGCTTGATTTTGTTTCTGCATTGGAATGTCGAAAGTATATATATATATATATATATATATATATATATATATATATTAATCATCCAGGAAAATATATAGAAAAACAACATAAACACATTACATACACATGCAGCAGAAGAGTGACAGCAAAAGCATTTTGTTTTAAGGAAAACTTACACATAATTCATAATAATAATAAAATAAAATAAAACGCCATATATTAATTCTTAAAATCCTAGATTGCTTTGAGAGCCAGAAACCTCGGTTCTTTAGGCAAGAACTTCTGCTCGGCGTAAACATTCATGTAATCCTCGAACACAAACTTCGGATACTTAGCACCTGATGATGATGAGTCCTTCACCACCTCCTCCTCCTCCACCACCGCCCCCTGCGCGGCCTCTGCCGCTAGCAGCTCCGGAGAAGGCGCAATAACGGCCTTGTACGATGGGTTATAAAACGAAGCAATTGACCTCCTATTCCCATCTGGCCGGGCCAAGACCCGGTGCCAAACGCTCTTGTACCTCCCGTTGCTCAAAACCTCGATCTGATCACCTGTATTGATGACCACAGCATTTCTCATAGGCTGCACATCGATCCACGCTCCGTCTTTCAAGATCTGGAGGCCGTTGACCTCGTCGTCTTGGAAGAGGAGGATAACCCCACCTGCATCCGTGTGGGCCCGAAGCCCGGTCACCTTCTCCGGGTGGGGGCAGGGTGGGTAGTGGCTCACTTTTGTCCCGAAAAAAGCTGCATTCTTGGAGTCTTGTCCACCGTTGAAGGCCTTGTTGAGGTACCCCTTCGGGAGGCCTAGGTTTTCGTCCATCGTTTCAAGGACTCGTAGCGCGAGTTTCTTGAGCTCGATTCTGTATTCCTTCATGGTTTCCCTGTTCATCATACATGATTAGTTTGACTTCTAGGTATCAATCATCAAAATAATTAATCATATGCATGCACATGTTCTTGTCTTAGATAATACAATATATGTCAACTAGAATTACTAGCTAGTAGTTTGTAATTATGATTTATTAATTACAGTTGTCAAGTTTCAACATGCATGAATCATATGAAAACAGATTAGCACTATTTTACAACAAAAAAAAAAAATCGTCGTCGGAAAGTGAATCAAGGTGATACATTATCACAGCAAATAAAAATCGAAAAAAATAAATTTTACTATGAATAAAAGCTTACTTGAAACCCGGAGTTTTCGGTGGCCATTGATCATCGTTTTCGTCTGAGAGAAGGAAAACATCTTCCCAATCAACATTCTCTACTTTCTCATCATGATCACCGCCATTTTTACGTTCCAACAATTCGTTAAGAAGTTGCACCGGTTTCGATTTCTTGAAACCTTCTTCTCTTTCAACCTTGTAGCACTCAGATGCAACCTTCTTAACCCTCTCCAACAGCTCCTCCGAGATTCCGTGGTTGATTAACTGTACGTCGTTTAATCACGAATATTTAATATCGAACAATTAATTATAAAGCAAGGATTAATGCATGTGCATGACAACATAATAATGCACATGTATGTACCTGAAAGAAACCCCACTCTTCACAGCAGTTAGCAATCTGAGCAAGAGTATCGGCTCTCTCCTCTCCGTCGAGCTTCGAGAAATCGATCACCGGAATCGCCATTGAATTTTAATTATTATAAATTAATTAATTAATTATTAGCAAGAGAAAATTTGATTTGGATGCTCAACAACTCACATTTGATGCCTATTTATAGAGGGCCACCATACATATATGTACATACATATAAACCACACCACTACTGTATTAATTAGTTATATATAAAATATGTTTTCTTGCTTAATTAAACTGTAAAGTCATAGCAGCCATTGGATTAAGACAACGGACGGTGACGCAAGGTCAACGGTTTGATGATGTAATCAGCTGGTAATGCATCTTAATCATCATTATTAAGCCCTTGTTTAAACTTGATTACTACTAACTATGTAATTTAAGCTTAATTAACACGATTTTTTGCCAGATGGCGGCTTTACCAAATTAATTAATTAAATACCATGCTCTACTTGTTAATTCCCTGTCACAACTGTCATCATATCTTCTAACTGATCTGCAGACCTTAAAATTATATATTCAACTTGTGAAATTAAAAAAGGGGAAGTTATTTTATTTATAAGAATTTGAATTTTCAAAAATAAATTATAGGGGAAATCACCTCTTAGTTATGGTTAAATTACGAAAACTCACCTTCTGTTCGGGTAATTATAGCTACCCCTCCTTTTAAATATTTTTACACAAAATTTATGTAATTCGGTTATTTACCGAACCAAATCGTGTATTCACTTCGGTAAACAATATGAAATGTTGGAGTACCGAAATTTCGATTCGATTTTACTGATTTAACATCCTTAAATTTACCTTTGGAGGAATTTTTCGTAAGATAATACATAATTAAAGGGATGGCTGTAATTACCTAAAGAATATATATTTTTTCGTAATTGAGGCATTTATCAATGTGGCTGTAATTTGACTTAAATTATATATATCTTAAAAGTAAAGCAACAGGCAGTAACTGAAATACCACATTTGTGTATTTGACTTGAAATTGAAAAATGTGCCGACTGACTAATTAATTAACACCATTCATTGAGAGTTGACTCTCAACTAATTCTTTTTATTATTTATTTAATTATTTAATAATCCCTGTTGACTTTGTAGCACATAACATGCTCTACTTTTCGTGTGATTAGAGATCAGATGAGATAAATAAATGGATTAATTAGTATGCATAATTTGTGGGTTAAGGAAGTAAAATTCTTTCATTAATTAAACAGAACCTATGGTCAAATGTTAGTTTTTTATACATTATTTTTTCAACTACAGTAGAACCTTGATAAATTAATACTCGATAAAGTAGTAATCTCGCTTAAATAATTATTTATTCCGGTCTCGATTCGGTGAAAACGTATTAATTATTAGTTCGATAATTTAATATTTCGTTAAAATTAATAGATTTTTGTCAGGAAATCCATATGTAGTGTACAAAAAATTAATTGAATTTTGAGATTGATCTGTAATTAAAGAAGCTATGTTGTACGAATCGTGGTGATATTAATGATAATGATTGTTAGAATATGAGGACACAATGTAAGCTGGTACAGGTAATATTGATGGTTTGATTAACTACATATGAATTAATGTCCTAATGATGAGATAATCATTGAAAGATTAGTACTGATCAGGGTTTTTTTGGGACACTATTTGCGATTAATACACGGATTATATTATGGGATATAAGAGGATTTTATCCTCAGACGAGCTCAATTGTATTTCTAAAATGTTAAATGTCATCTTAATTTTATTAATACCGTTTTGACTTCGAACGTAATTTTGGCCGATTTTCAATCCGATTTTGGCAATGCTCGAAACACATAAATTGTAATTTTATGGGTTACTTTTCTACCCAATTTGAATCAGCTAGATTAGATGTCGTATGACAAATTTATGCATTGACAAATTTATGCATGAATAAGTTATTTTTTAAATTTTATGCCGTATGAACATCGTTTAGTGATTCATTCACATCTTCCGCATCTAACATCCGATTTTGGTAATTCAAGTTAGAATAAAAGGCTAACTCAAATGACAACATATTTCGTGCTTTGAGTTTTGCGAAATTCAACCTAAAAAATGGTGAAACTCTTATTTAAAATCGATAGAATATATTAAGACTGAAACGACATTTATCTCATCCCTCGTTTTATTAATTATTAATTTGAAGTCGGTCAAATTAAATGTGAAATTTCCAACTTCTTGTGTGCTTTTTTATAAAGCACATTCAACCATAATGTACGTAAAGGTACTTCGACGCGGGATGCAACAATCATGTATTACTAATTTATTTTATACAGCTTTTATTTAAATACTAATAATAAAAAATAAATTTAATATAATAGTGATGAGTCATGCTAAATATTATTATATTTAATTAAATAAAAATGAATTCGGTTATTTTGTTTGATGGCTTCCACATTAATTAGACCTTGACTTGGAACGAATTAAATATTAAATATTAATAAAATTCATGAATCCTGCCTCAACGCATTATTTTAATTTAGAATGTAAGATAAATTTACGGTCTACGGTAGCTGTACTCAGATTTCTGTGTTTTTTCATTCTCTGTTCAACAATTATATTTTACACTTCAATCAAGAAATTAGTACTTGCAAGAATCAATAGAGCCCGGGCCCACATACATAAAGTATTATGAAGGCAATGCATGGAAAATGAAAAAAATATATTAAAATTTCATTAAGAAAATATTATATATATTTAGCTTGTGAATTCATTTAGCGTGGTCGGCTAGATAAGATTTCGTAAACATGCAGTAAATATCACACACTTATTTTTTACCATATAGTTGACATCCTGTCGTCAAAAACTCACCATGTATAAAGCAAAAATTATAAAAATCTATTTTTTAATTACAAAATTTAAATTCAACTGCGAGGATTAAGTATAAATTAAGCAAGATTCAAAACCCTAATAAATTCTAGTTCGATCCCTTGCCAACAATTTTTAGGACGAGTTCGTCACACGGGGCAAAATTTACACCTCATGTCATTTACTGGGCACTACACGAAAGCAGGTTTTAAATAATTTTTTTTTTTGTATAAAATAAAAAAATATTTTCTCATTATTCAGACAAGTGAAAAAAATAATGAGGAAGTTAGTTGAATTGAAACAGCTAAACATGTAGGCAACTAAGTAATTTGTAGTAAGCAAATATGGAGCAAAGAAAGTTGTTAAAACTCCAAACAGAAAGACAGCAAAATCTCTAAAACCATTTTCAACACACAACACAAAATCAGACACAACAGCACATACTTGTCCCTCCAACAACATAATAACATGACCTCACCCATCTTTCTGCCTATTTTTTATTTATTTATTACCATCGAATATACACGTCGTCTCAAGATAAAAGAAACTACAGATTTCAATTTTTCATAATATAGAATGTTTTCTCAGATCTTGAGAATCTAATTATAAAATCACGTACCTGTTAGAACTGAACTGTGATCGGAGGCGAAACTTGTTTCAGACAGGATCACGTGAAACAGTGTGATTGGCCAATTTCATCGCGACCCTTTCACCTCCAGGCTAACATTTTAAGCCGAAACGAGGGGTATGAATCAACCGAAATTTAGCAGTTTATTCCATCCATACCTGTTATTTGGCCCAATCGTTTCCACAGTCAGTTGTTTCTGATGGCTGTCATAAACTGTATTTGCAATCACTTGCTCGGGATATATCGAATTTCTGATTTAAAGAAAATCATAGAAACATCTTTAATTAGCACAGAGCAATTTTTCAATAGTCTGGAATCAATATCGACAGACTACAGTACTATGGAGAGAACAAAACATAACTGTTTTTGCACATTACGTAGCTCACGTCAGAATATCTCAAACGAGAAGAGGCCAATATTCATGAAAAGGGTAGAAGCTCGAATCTTATCTACAGATATTATCGTACCTTTAGCAGAATTAACGGTATTTGCTTCTATACATATAATTCTTAAGACTCCATGGGAGACGACCAGTACCGTAACAGAGATTCCACAGTTACCCTCCTTGTGGCACTAAGCATTGAAATGAAAAATCTACAGCCGTCAATTTTGTATTCCTCGAGTGGATTTCTATGCCCAAAACTTCTCACGTTCACCTATATATAGACATCGCAAAACCAGTACGAATCTAAATTCTATGTAGTTTTGTATAAATGAATAGAAAAAAATTTAGTTAGTTAAGCATAGAGAATACCGCCGAGTTAAGTCGGTTCATATTCACAAGATGATCCCTCCAGAAGCAATCAAGAGTTTTCACGAGAACTTCCCTCTACATGCAGAAATTACTTTGTGAGAAACAATGTCACAAATGATATAAAGTTGAAGAAACAATGGCAAGAAACATGCATCGATAATTGATTGTATGTCAAGGAGATTCTGTATGAGCATCGATCACAGTAAGCATCTTCAACAGAATTTAGGGTACCTCAATTTCCTTCACATAAGCACTGTCGTAGCCCGATTCTTGAATGATATCCAGATACGAAGCAATCAAGAAATCGCCAAGGTACTTGCAAAGAAGATTAACAGTTGATCTGAATTTCCCATCTCTAGTAGAAATTAAGAGAGAACAATTAAAACGAGGCGGAAAAAAAAATATCTCGAAGAATTTGAGAGATGTAGAGAATACAAAATACACACTTAATTGAATCATCAGAACATATTGTTAGCCAGCGTTTCAATGACGAGCTCTTCATGCGGATGCCTCGAAAGGAATTTGGAGGTTCAGGTAAGTTTGGAAGGTGAAACTCGTAAACGTCGGTGGAACTCAAGACATCAATTTGGGTGAGTGATTGCAGCATTTGTTCCTCAGTAACCCCTGCAAATGAGTCTAAAGGCATTCCAATACTTCAGTGTACATTTTCAAGCAAATCACACTCGAAAAAAAAACACTAATATAAAGAAAAACTAGCAGATTATACGACAAACGACGCACCATTTGATATTTTTCCAGAAATTCCATTAAATTCCCTCAAAAGTTTTCCCAAGTTCCAGCTGCTTGGATGCTACAGCATTCAACAATATAGTGTTAGAGAAATTCAAAGAACTAAAATCGACTGTTCGGAGATCCACTGCTTCAAAGAATCTACTCTTTAAGGAAGTTTATTACCTTTGTTGGATCCACATTCTTGAAAATAATTTCAGCTGTCACTGCTTGCATGTACCTAAAGACAATTTATTAGTACATGGTCAGAAGATAAAAAGGAAAACTACCGAGGTAGTCCTCAAAAACTAAGTATCTGAAAGTGAAAATGGAACTCACTGGAAAATGTGCTCTGAACAACCATCAGAATCGCCCGTTAAAACTAATTGGCGAAGATCATAGACATGCTTTCTTTGCACCTGCCAGGCCAACGAGAAGTCACTCTAATATAAGCTACAAATAATAAAATTTGAAGATCTAAATTTGATAAGAAAAGCATCAAGGCAACGGTGTTATTATTATCAGGTCCTATAGAAAATAATGTGAACTTGTATATGTTAAAAGGTTAGATGATACCTCTAAAACTTCATCGAACTCAACGAGGCTTTTTCTTATGCCAAAGAAGTATTTTTCCGCATTAATTTGTAGGGACATAAGCTGAAAGCCCGTCAGAAGAATTAGCTATTTGAGCCCTAAAAAATTACATCAATGCAAAAAGATGGGAAGCGGTGGGGCACATCAACAAAAGCATATACAACATCACTACAATACCTGTTTCACGATTGCATTACCCTCTATTGGGATATCCTCGTCATTTGTAATTCTAGATATAAGTTTTATTGCCCACTCAGTATCAAAATTGAACTTCTGAAACATCTCATCCTGCAAGCTGTTAAGGCAAGGTCATTTTATGCAACTGGTTTCAATGTTATATATGTCTCGAATACTATCAAGCAAGTGACAGAATTTGATAATACCTCACCATAAACCGTGTTGATCCAGGATCCCCTTGTCTTCCAGCCCTGCCTCGGAGCTGTTCAAGCGAATTATATTGACAGCAGAACAATAAATAATAAATACAAAATGACACGGAAACAAAGACAGACGGACAGAGAATGGAGAAGAAAAATATTACTAAGAATATGTAAAATAACAACCATGAAATAACAACTTCTCTATCACATCATATTCTAATAAATCCAACTTCAGAAAAGGATGCTTATACTGATACATATTAAACATAGAAATAGAGCAACAAGAAATCTTATCGCCATCATTCAACTTAAAAACCAAATAAGAAAGAAACTTTATGTCTGCAGATATAAAACATTTCGTGTTTTCCCCTGACCTCTCCTTCAATATGAATCTTGATGAATATTCATAGATTGAGAATATCATATGTCTCCAATATTAGGTAAAACGTATATTCCTGCTATGACTCAACCAAATGGAAGAACTCACCTGATTATCGATCCTCCTAGACTCGTGTAAAGAAGTCCCAATCACATGAAGACCTCCAAGACTTTTCACCTCTAACCCTTCATTAGAACAGTGAGATTCACAATCCTTTAGAACTGATAAATAAGCAAGAGCTATAGATGGGCCAAGAGGGTATATCTCAGTCTGCTCATCAATAAGCTTCTGCAACTCTGTCGACTCCATTGACTGGCTCATTTCGATAGACTCTGAAATCATATTTCTTGCCTCATCATAAGTCCAGCTCTTACTCTCACTTTTACTTACATATTTGGCTGTATTATTAACAGAAAAAGTTAGACAAAAATATCGGTGAAATTTGGAGAAAAGCAGATATTCGGAGTTGAGATTTTGTAGTAAAATATGAAACTAACACAGAATAGCAGTCTTAGCTAGCAAGCCCAATGATGATGGCCCAACATTTACCTTGGATAAGACCTGCATCGAAAGGACACTTTAAAGGTTAAACTGAAATTTCTCTTTTTACTTGTTTCTTCACTGTAAAAATCAGTTATCACCTTTTTTGAAGTCCCTGAATCAATGTCAACATCAGGAACGTTTTGTGTAAGAAATGAAAGCAAACTGTCCTCCAAAATTTCTTTAGCTAGCATCTGACCAAGAGAGAATTACAAATGTAAGGCACAACAGTTCCTCCCACAATAATGGTACTACTTAATTACTACCCTCGATAAGAACACCTAAACTGATACCTACCTTTGGATTTCCTCCTAAGATAATGTCAGTGCCCCTGCCAGCCATATTTGTTGATAAAGTAATCGCATTTTTTCGACCCGCCTGCGCTACAATCTCTGCTTCTCTAGCAGCATACTGAAAAAGGCAAATTGTTAGAGGTTATTAAGGATAAAAAAATATAAGTATATAGATAAAAGGAATCCAAAGATCATAAGGCAGCTCAATATAAGTCCAGTATATAAACCTTGGGGCGTGCATTAAGGACATTGTGGGGGATATTTGTTTCCCTCAGCAAATCAGACAGATATTCAGAATTCTCAACACTGCATCAAACAATAAAAAAACCAAGATGAGATCTGCTGTATATCACATAGAAAGAATAAAGATCTTTTTATGCCAATAAAAAGTCAACCCATAAGTACCAAACTGGAAGAAAATGAGTGAAAAATACCTCGTAGTCCCAACCAATACCGGCCGGCCGAGCTTAAACATATACTCAATTTCTGCACGAACATATTCCCATTTCCCTCTAGCAGTCTGAGATAAAAACCATTAAAAACATCAAAAAGTCAACGATGGCTTCCAGAACAATGAGAAAAAGTTTGAAGAATTCATTGTCTTACTGCAAATGCCTGAATAGGCAAGTCTTGACGAATGTTTGACATATTTGTGGGCACTTCAATTACTGGCATTTGAAACATCTTCAAGAATTCTTTTTCCTACGTAACGAAAAGAAAGTTTTAACATTAACAGTAGGTATCCTTCAAGCATCATCGTAGGTTTCAGTTTAATTTGTGAAGATGAATGTACCTCAGTTTTAGCAGTCCCAGTCATCCCTGAAAGCTTGGGATATAGTTTGAATAGTGATTGGTAGGTAATTTGGGCCACAACAACAGAATCAGCCTGACAAATTCAGGAACTGTGAGTTTACCAAGAAATTAAACAGTGTAAAGCAAAATCAGGTATAGACAACTGTGATACCTGGATCTTCAGCCCTTCTTTGGCCTCCACAGCCTGATGGATACCCTCAGACCATCGCCTTTTTTCTTCTACTCTACCAGTCAACTGTGAAGAAAAAATAACAATGTACTTCTCATCAAGGAAACTAAATAGTCAAGGCAAAATATTACGGAAACTACTGTGGGAACAACATTTATATCTTAAGTTCGTACTGCAAGAGCACAAAGCGAACATAGCAATTTATAACAAAAATGAAGCAGCCAGAGCAACTGACTGGGGCTACTTCAACAGTGGCCACATACCTCATTGATTATAAGAGCTTTTCCATTTCGAACCATGTATTGTACATCTCGCCGGTAGAATTCTTTCGCTTTTAAGGCATTCAAGACAAACCTGCAGCATTAAAACGACATTTTAGAACTTAGAAGTTTTAGAAAATTAGGTTAGGATTGCACACTGAAGCAGCAAAAAAATGGCCTCGAAGGTTTTGTTTTAATCTGTGCATGAAGAATCAAAAGAAACTATTTAACGAGGTCATATATAAATTATAAGCAAAGCGTGAGAAAAATGTTCACCTAGCCCAAGGATCATTCTCATCCCATAAGTCATTTGTTTCTAAAGCCATCTCAGCCAGTACTATTCCTTCCTCAGTAAGTTCCACTGAATTATCCTTAAGCTCAACTTTGTAATGCTAAAACATTACACGAAAATGTTAAAAAAATATAGATTTGATCTTACAATTTTGTGAAAAATGTGAAAGATTCTTAAGTTAACGGATGGAAAAGGAAAAAAACGACTCACTAGGACTCGTGTCAGCAACTCGGCTACTCTAGCGGCAACTGGATATCGTGCAGCCTCTTTACTTGCCTAAAATAAATAAAGATAAGTTGGAAAAGGAAGCATGAATTAATAATATTCAGAACATATTAAATTATTAGGAGGTAAAGAAAATGCTCCAGAAAACTACCTCCTGCTAGACCAAATTAATTATTTTTCCTTTTTTCTTTTCCAGTTTTTGGGGGATAATTATTGTATTCAGAGTTGTGATTGCAAATAGACATGTTTGTGTTAAGTGCTCATAAATATCAATATTACCTCACCACTTATCAGCAAAGGATTTCGGCCTTCATCAATGAGTACAGAATCAACTTCATCAAGTATTGCAAAATGGAAGGGTTTTGGCCTATCATAATACAATAATTAACCATAGTAATAATGAGATTACCAGACCTAACCATGGAGGTAGAAAAACTGATGGCTTACCATCTCATCACAAGCTGGTCCCTGCTTGCAGAAAGATTATCGCGCAAATAATCGAAACCAAGTTCCTGGGTAAAAAATAAGGGAAGAAAACATAGAAAGAGGTTGTGAATGTTAGAATATGAACTGTACAAATCAACTGTAAAAGTGCAAATGTAAACAAAACATTACTATGATCCCAATATGTTTATTCAGGAAAAGGAAGTAAGCAGCAGTAATATGATGGTGTGGTTTCGTCAAAACACTTAAAAACTTGCCGAATTATTGGTGTATGTAATGTCGCATCCATAGTTTGATCTTCGCTGCTCAGGCGTCATGCCTCTCTGCACAAACAGCAACAACATAAGATAGCAATATTTTCCAACAACATCAGTTAACAATATCTGATGTCGGTAACATAGGAAGGATTTTCACATACCAAATGTTGATAATATTCAACCCTATGTTGCAGCTATAACGTTTAAACATCACTATGGTTCCTTAAAATTTGAAATATTTTGTGATTCAAGTATTATATGCATACATGTATATTGAGCCTTTTTGTATCTAGTCCAGTTAATTTTCTTGTCATTTTGTGATGCTCTTTTAGTCCAGAAGCTGATTCTAAACAAACTGAATACCAGGTCTTTCTAAAACTAAGGTAAAATTCTTTGAGCAAAGTACTTCACATACAGAGCATAGAAGGATGCACACGGTAGACAATTACCTGTATAAGTCCAACCGAGAGACCTAAAAAACGATGCACACGGCCCATCCATTCAGCGTCTCGTTGAGCAAGGTAGTCATTTACTGTAACAACTGCCAAAGAGAGTACACATTAAGAACTATGGTACCTATAAAACGCCCAACTTCAACTATCCACAAGTCACATCCCAAAAGCTATGAGTGATAACCGATAACAAGATATAGTATAAAAAAAAAACAAGACATATGTTCAACTAATGACACTTAGATGATCCAAAATTAACATTCACACACACTATTTTATGGACGACAAGCCAGTCATTAAGAACAACACAAACAACATACCATGAACACCCTCCCCACTTAGAGCATTGAGATAAGCTGCTAAAGTGGACACTAAGGTTTTCCCTTCCCCGGTTTTCATCTCTGCAATCGACCCATCATGAAGGACAGCTCCACCAATAATCTGTTATAAGAAAGTGTGGAGCAAATATATCCAAATTATTGTTTCTATGGATATTGAAAACCTGGAACGTCATATACAAAACAATTATGGTTGGGTGTTTATGTATAGGAAACCTGAACATCAAAATGACGCATTCCAAGCTTCCTTTTCGCAGCTTCACGAACTACAGCAAAAGCCTCTACAGACAAATTCATTATCAAAATAGCATGATTTTAAGTCGTGAAAGTCGAAATAAATGAAATATATAAAGACCCGTAAACAAATCAACAAATAGCGCTGAATCTTTTAATAGTAACCCACAAAATTTCCGGGTCTTTAGTGATAACTAAATAGAGATGGACAAGTTGATTTCGTACCAGCTTGAATGTCAGCTAGACTCGCACCCTGTTTCAACCTCTGACGAAATTCCACAGTCTTGGCGCTCAACTATAAGAACCGAAGGAAGAAAAAATAATAAAAACGAAAAAGTTAAATTAAAACTGAACTGAGTGGCGAAAAAACAAAGGAAGGGTGGAGTAGAGAAAAACCTGTTCATCGGAGAGTTTTACAATGGAACGTTCCAGAACATTTACGGAATTCACGAGTCTGTAGTAATCTTTAACCACCCAGTAATTCAAGCTGCTTAGGTCAGTCCATGTTTTCTTAATCCCACCAATTTTTTCCTATAAAAAACAAAATTCTTAAAATAAAAGCCCCGTAAATGTGACTTCAGTAATATTTCTTAATCCCACATTAATATAATCATAAACCTAAGAAATCAAACTTCTGAATGGAAAGGCACAACATAATTACTAAATTTACGAAGTACCGAGAAGAAGAAGAAGGGAAAAGAGGGTTAGGTAGCTAAAATTCGTACCGTGAGAGACGAAGAGATAGGAGAGACGGTGAACCGACGGCGAGTTGGGATATAGGGATGAGGAACAGTAAATGGAGGGAAGAAGGTTTTGGTGCATAGCAGAGTTGTACTTTGACGGCGGCGGCGGAACTTCGTCGGCGGAAGGGGAAAGACGGAGTAGGAAGTTACGGTAGTCATGAGAGAGAGACGTTGGTGGAGATGGTGTTGGGGTTTTGTAATTAAGGCAACTTCAAACCGTTCGACTTATAACACACTGTGGTGTTTGCAAAAGCTTTTTAAAAGTGATTATGAGCAAATGTTTTTAGCTTAACTCACATTCACTAACTTTTATTTTTAAATAATCATTTGCAAACACTATACGTTTGCAAAAGCTTTTTAAAAGTGATTATTAGCAACTGTTTTTGGCTTAACTCACAATCACTAACTTTTATTTTTAAATAATCATTTGCAAACACTAGACATGTTTAATATCTTATGGGGGAAGAAATTAACTATTTTAAATTAGATTCTTCATTCGGGTTTTAGCTCGTAAATTTATTTTGCCTAGTTAATGAGAAACCATTACCAACGACTTCGACAAACTCCTGTTGCGATTCAGAACCACTGCGTACCATATTTTGACAGTTCGATTGCTTATTCTTAACAGCTGCAAAGTTTTTGAAAATTAATTTTACCCCAAATTTAAACTCTAACATTAAGTAAAATGAAATTCGTTGTCGGAATTGTGTTTGTACATATATGCATCGTGACTGTTGGGAAAATGTATAAATAAAATGGAGAAGAAAAAGAAAAAAGAAATACAAAATCGTTTAATGATGGGCATTCATCTCTTCTTAAGAAACCATCATCTTCATCATATATGTTGAACCTTCACCACACCAGATAATCTCTCTCTTATTACTCCAGTCAACTCTTGAGAGAGAGAGAGAGAGTAGTATAGCGTGGAGTAGTGCACCAAGTACATGGGAGTTAGCTTAAAATCTAGTCAGCATCACCAAGACCATCACTTCCATCCCCTCTCTTGGAAATAGGAGCATAACCAGAATTGTGCTTTTTCTTTTGTGAAGAAGCAACTTCTGCATTTTTACGTAACACCGCCCCCGGTGACGGGTAAGGCCGCTGCTGAAAAAGAGGTCCCTGCAATTTCAAGTTTTCCAAACACGTTAAAATGAATAAACGCATTTTACACATTTGCCCAATATATCATCATATCTTGACGAGAGAGTCAAAACCGATCCAAAATAAGTACGTGAAAGAAAGAGATTGCAAGTGTGTTGTTTGACGGTAGTAACATACCGTGGCAGTGGTATCTGCTGCTCTTGGTTGTACTCCTTTAAGGCCAACAACCCTGTACAATTAGTTGAGAATTAACTTGCCGAAGTATATAGCTCTTAATGCAGATGGCTAATATTTCTAACGAAACGATTTTTGAGCTAGCACTACCCAAGTGATTGATTACTACTATGTTGCACTGCTTGATACGAGACAAGTAACATACCAACCACCACGAGGAGCATCTGAATAGGCACTTGGATCCATCGGGTCCAATTCATCATCCTCGCTGTATGCACGCTTCTTATTGTCCTTTTTGTAGCCACTCCCGAGAGGGGGTTTCGTATCGGACCTGTACACCAAAGTCCACAGAAATTATGACAATTCCAAACAAGTAACAATAGACAACAAAATCACTATTACTGAAACCGTTGAGACGGGATTTACACTACATGTTACTAAAGACCGTTAGCGAAGTATGAAATGGAACAAGCACATGCGACGCGGCATCTTTATCATAGTTAGTTCCACTTCATTGTCGTTTTAATGTTTAGATGCCGCTATTTAATTTATTCTAACCTTAGAAAATAGAATCTTTTGATGCTTGAAATAAGAAGTAATGAAAAATGGAGGAAAGATCACCTGTGATTAGAAGAACTCTTCTCTGGATCTCCTTGATTTCTAGGAGTGGCGATGGCATGCATATGGCTTTCTGCAGGGGCTGATAAGTATTGGCTTTCTGCAGGGGCTGATAAGTATTGGCTTTCTGGACGATTTTGAAGTCTGCATAGAGTAAAATTCACCATCGAATACCAAAATCAGTTTCCGTAAACACGAAGGCAAAAAATAAATAAAGGAAACAGTAAAAGATAAGGGATAAACAAACCGGGTGCAGTGATTGCAATAGCCCCAAGACTTTACGAGATCCAATCCCCACCCACCACACCCCATGCATTTTGGTAAAGTCAATGGGCGATCTCCCGAATTCGCGTCCAATGCATCAGAGGAGACCATTTCGTGATGCTGTGGGGCAGCCTGCTGTGCACCTGGATGCTCCCACTGCGACACATTGGTCTTCCTATTGTAATAATACTTTTGACCTGAGAATACAAATAACTGGAACACGTAATCTTGTGGACATGTAATTTCAGAAGCATTTTTCCTAGAACTGTGGATATAGTAAAAAAGTTATATGCCTTCTTTCCCACATACTATAAAGACCTTCTCTTAATCACAAGCTGGAACTATAGTAGATCGCTAAGAAAATAAACAATATATGAAGAAAGCACAAGGAAAGAAAATAAAACTTAAGAACAGAAATGACAAAAGATCTGTTAGGATATGTCACCAGAAGAAATTGAACGTTAAGACAGTTCTGAAATTCAAAAGCAAAGCAGAATCATCACTGACATGTAAATGCTTAACAGATGGAAATAACAAGGAAATCAAATTTCTTGACTTTTACCTACAAAAGAATATACTAATTCAAGCAATTACGAACAACATGACAATTTTAACGAAACTTTGAAATGCCATAACAGCAAGCTAAACTATTGCTATCTTCACAACTACAATAAATACATTACTACTAAAAATCTACACGTAAAGGATATACCTGTAGTTTCATCAAATGCCTCTGTCCAATCTTCTGGTTGAGGCGGTGCCACAAAGACAGAAATAGGAGGTGCATCTGTAGGTTTTTCCCACTGACTTTTCCCTAAAATCTTATTATAATAAAACACAGTACCATTTTCAGGATCCCTTGCTTCAATCTACACAATGATTTGGTGAGAAAAAGATGGATGAGCAAAGAAATAATAGCACGAAAAACAAGGTGAATTATGTTAAGAAGAGACTGGGAGGGAATATGACGCTGGAACAATTGAACAATAGTGTAACGCCCCATAATTTATGCTTATGTTATGTGTGTATATATATTTTATATATATATATACACACACATAACATAATCATAAATTAAGGGGCGTTACAAATAGTCTCGTTACAAGTGCTGCTACAATGTGAATAACAGAAGCAAATCCATTGAGGTCTTACTTTTGTTCTGATTAAAGTGGTGTGAGAAACATAGGGTATTTGTGATGCAGAAAATGGTCATTAAAGAAAGTGACGCTCGCTTTTAAATGTGTAAATAAGAATAGCAACTGGTACTCACCCATCCTGAAGGCAGATTCCCAGGTGCCATGTCCTGAGATGACTGAGCTTCCAATCTCTAAAAAAGTTCCAACACGGGTTTAGACATAGCCAATGAGATATTATTTAGAAAACGAATATTACAAACAACACTAAGAACATAATAACATTTACATTTAAATAGTTACCCTCTTTAGCCCAGTCAGAAACTGGCAATACTAATTGCAGTATTAAAAGAAAGAGCCTCTAGCCAGGATTGATTTTGCAGACCTAAATCTTTAGAGAAAGTAAGGCGGATTCGAGAAGGGCACACAATAAAGAACAATCAACTCACATTTTCTGTCACCGAAGAATTCTCTGCACTTCGATTATCTTTCAGGATACCTCTTGCTTTCAGCTTTTGCTTGAGATATTCAGGCAAGTCATTAGACACACCAGTAATCTCTGCATTGTTTTGGCTTGTTTTCTGGCCATCAAGATCTTTTATTTCTGATCATGAAGGAGAAGCGTGTCAAAAAAACCCAACAGAGTGATTCAAAGACGGGAAATATTCTTACCGTGGGTTTTAACATTGTGCACTGAAGCACCATAATAAGCACCTCCGCCAGGCACGCCATATCCATTTCCAATTTCAAAATTTCCTAGCAAAAATTTAAGAAAAATACAATTGGTTAGAGTAAATTTTAAAACATAACTAAGAGAGATAAGATAAATATCTCCACTCTCTGCATTCACTAGGAATATATATTGATTGATAATCACAGAACTTTCCGGATTGTATTCCCCAAAGAACTATTCATGGAACCTAATATATCAGAGGAGTATATATTTCTATGTGACTATGTGTTGCTTATTTAAAAAATAACCAGCATATGAAATACTCATGCACAGAAATTAGAGAATCTGAAAATATAGAGATAGTTTAGAATGGTAGTCCAACCTTCCTCCATAGCGGTGGGATTGCCACGTTTTAAAGCCGTTTTTGTTCGATGCAGTGTGGTCATTTTTAGTAGATGCTCCTGTTGAATTAAATCATTGAATCAACTTAAACCTCAAGTAAATATGTATAAAGTCAAACGATAAAACACAAGAGGATTAAAAAAGATCGTGAGGTCAAAAACACCTTAAGAGCATGTGGGTCATGACGACCAGACAAAATGTCTCTATTATCCTCAGATGATCCAGCTACAGTGCTTGATTCTCTGAGTCCAAAAAATATAAATATACATGAAAACACATTTTACTACTATATACTAAGGGATCAGGTTATTTATGGAAGATTTTCATCACAAACCTCTGGTTCTGTATAACAATTTGGGTGGCAATTTCCTGAAACGGGATAAGACAAGTCGAATAAAGTACATCACCAGATAGGTATAAACACTACATAATGAAGCATAAATGAAGAGACAATACTTGTTCATGCATCACAGCATTCTGGGCAGCAGCTTCAATATCATTACTGAATTTTGATGTGGATATATACTGTGGATTAATAGTTTCCAAGGGAGAAGAACTATGGGCATTTAATAGAGGAAAAAGTCGGTTTCCAGAATCTACAGCTGGCAAGGAGGATGGATTACTTGAAGATGAGACTAACGTACGTGGCAGGGATTGGACTCCCGGAGGAAGCGGCTCGTCATAATTATCACCCATAAAGCTGAGAAATCGTATAAAATTACAGTTTTAGCAAAGGGATGCAAGCAAAAAATCCAAGAATTAATAGTCAATAGAGCACGAAAGAGATTGAATTGCTCCAAATCAGAATCACCAATACACGATCCTTTTCCCCCAAAAACAAAAATCAGAAACAACATATTTTCTTCAAGAAAATCAGCAAAAATTAGAAAATAAGACAGCATACCCAATAATTAATTACGAAACACAATTTCCTAGCTAAAAGTTCATTACAGTGAATTTGCTTCAACTTTCTAAGCAAATCCGACGAAGCCGACAAGCGTAAATTTTAGAACAAGTGAAATAACGATTAACAGAAAACAGTAATACAATTGCCCATAAAACCCTAAAAGCAGCATACCTTGGATGAAAGAGGAATATGGAAGCTGGAAGCCAGTACGCTGCACTGAATATTTGAAATTCTCGGATATAAAAATGCCTAATGAATGTACAGCAATTAAAGCAAAGAGTACAATACTCCGATTGTTGATTAAGGGCTTGTTTGGCGGTACTAACTAGCCACTACTCCGATTAATTGGGCTTTTTTTAGAGCCCAAATACTTTTTTATCCCACCCGTTTCGAGTTCACTTACAGCCCAGCCCATACAACAATTAAAATAATTAAAAAGCATAGTAATATATTATTATTTTGTGAATTGAGAATAAAAAAATGGAATTGATGTATTATCGAAATTACTTTTTTTTTTTTAAATATGATGTCAGATTATATTGGTTTGAAATTAATTTCATGTCGAATAAATTTAGGTGAGCCAAGACTGACTCAATTTCTCATTGAGTTCATATAAAAAAAATAAAAAATAAAATAAATAAAGGGAGGCAAGGAGCTCTTCAACTAACGTACTCCTAATATTAAAAATCCAGAGTCAACTGATCATCAAGTTCAAAATAATTACATAAGTTACTATCAACAAAATGTAGTCTATCACCAACTCTCATTAGGAGAGTTGGTACCTAGCCTTTACCAATAGGGTAACGGTTTAGGGTTCGAGTCCCCCCTCCCCTACTTCCCCTTGTAATGGACTTGAATTTACTCAAAAAAACAAAATGTAGTCTATCTAACAAACAAAAATGTAGTCTACTCAAAATTATCTAGAATTTTTTTGCTTATGTCAACTTAAGTACTCAAGAGCCGGAAGGCACAGCTGGCTGAAGGTTGTTCGATTTAGGGAGAGGAACAGCCATATTAAGCTTCCGGGGTTTGGGCCGTTCATCGACCTTCGAAGACACCATCTTCTCAAGGCGGAACTGAGGTTCAACAGAGACTGCTGCGTTTGGATTTCTTTTTATTTTCTTGTTCGGTAAAGCATTTGATGGTGTTGTATCAACAGGGTTGCTGCTAGAGATGCCTTTTAGTTTTTCTTTCTTCTTCGGCTTCTCCATCTTTGAGTCATTTGCAGAGGAAATAGGCACGCGAGCAGTATTGTGAGCTGCTGCTGCAGCAGAGATAATTGGCTTGCTTGTCGAAGTAGAACCTTTTTGGCGAGAATCGGACGATAATTTCTCGTGAGTATGCAGTGTTTGGGTGGCATCCTTTACTTTTGGTGCTGACAACTTTCTCTTGGTTTTCTCTTGATCCTAATCAACAAAAGAATGGAAGCAAGAATGAGACTCCATCAAAGAAGTAACCGAAAGGGATATTCTATATATATTATTTGGAGGCATGATGTACAATTTTGACACCACAGCCTCACGGCTGCTTCTCTCTATCCATCTCTCAATCACCAAAACGAAAGCTAGTTGAGAGTCAAAAATTCAACTTGTCACATAACATTCACCACTACCCCAAGTTCAAATCCAATAATGGACACAAATAAATAAAAGGAAAGCACAGAATAGGCTTTGTTTACTCAACAACAAAAATATGGAGAACAGTCGAACGCTACAAAAGACCAAACAACTATCAATGATTTTCAATATCTAGAAGTGAGCCAATCAAAAAGCAAATGCAAAAACTGTGTAAATTTCCTAACGTACGAAACAATTTGAATTAGTCATTATATCCAACTACATATGACTATGAGTAAGCATGCATTGCATGCACTTCATTATGGCTTTAAAACATATACAATAAATGCATGTCGTTATGGCTTTAAAATGCATAGCGTTAAACAAAAACCTTCGAATTTCATCTGCCAAAATAAGAAATACATTGAAAAATAATAATTAAAGATAGCAATACCTTCCGCAAGCTGCACAGCCCCCTCCTGTCTTTTGCTCTGTAGATAGCACGTTTAATTCCATCAATATCCATTGATCCGTTAGGCCACAACATCACAAGCTGTGTCAGGAAAAAAGATATTCATTTACTTACCTATCTGGTATGATGGAAACAGAATGACAATTAAATTGCCAAAAGCAGGCTGTTAATTCATCAAACAATTGAAGGGCTTCAGCATTGGACAACTGTGGATACATAACCAAAAGACACTACTACCATTTAACCTCCTACATCCATCCATCACCCCCGTTAACCCCCTTCTCTCAGTGTGTGTGAGGAAAAAATGTCAAGAGAATTAACACCATCCAAGTGAAAACTTTCGTATCCTCAAAGTCGGAAATTACATGGTGCATGCATATTTTTTGCTGTCACTATGACAAATCCCTAATTCTCTTGTCTATATAAATCCTTTCCGTTTTTAATAGCATTATTGACCTGCAAAAAAATTTACATAATTCGAAAATCTACATCCATTAAGTGAAAGATAAAGACCAGTTAGTTGCAGTACTCTCGAGAATAATAAGCTACATGATTGTGCTTGGTTAGCATCATCATACATGAGACAGGCACAAATGCCAGGTTAACTAGTCAAACTTTAAAACCTAACTGATCCAAAAGACCCCATTAAAACTGCAAAGGCACATATAACAATTTTCCAGTGCAAATCATTCCCTCTAAATTTACCTCAAAAATTATTATTCACTAATTACATTAAGAAAAATTTACCTCTTCATAAAGACTTCTGACTGATGGGCCTGAATTGGTTTCTGACCTCTGAGAATGAAAACCAAAAAACCAAATTAGGTACACAAGAATTTTTTATTTTTTTTGGTGGGCAGATCTGATGTATACCTCAACATAAAGGTCGTACAAGTCGCAAATCTTATTTTCCAATAAATCGTCCATGATATATTTGCGTTTCAAGGCTTCTTTTTCTTCTGGACCAGCTTCCTGAAAATCATCTGAATTTGCAGCTTGTTGTTCAACCTGCACAGCATGTCAAAAATCAGGGTTAACTATAATTAAATACATCAGGCATCATCTTCAGCATACGATACGAAACACTGATGTTTTATCTAGCAAGAGAAGAATGGGAAATTAGGGGTTCGAGACAAATCTGATACAAATCTGGCACCTAGAATCAGAATTGATACAAACTTAAATGCATACTTTTGATTTAATAGACACAATCCGCAGCTTGACCATCTCTGCAACTTCTAATTTCATCTTCTTTATTATATCGTCCTTCTCTTGTTTAGCAGATAATCCCGTATCACTCGTGACGTTAAGATTTCTCTGATACAAAAACACGCTTTATTAATCAGAAGATTTTTCTGATACAAAAACACGCTTTATTAATCAGTAAACACGGGGATGAACACGTGTCAAAAACATATTTTGCATTAAAGGCAAAAGCAATAATAAATAAGACTTCATCAAGCATTACAAACTAGTACCACAAAATATTATAGAAGGCAAGTTTCTACATATCCAAGTTGTCCCAACTACATCCTTTATCCCACCCCCAATCCAATGCCCACGTTGCGGGAGAAAAGAAAATGAGATTTTGAACTTATATGCCACTACACAACCTAGCAACTTAAGGATTTTCGAGAAAATCATACATGCCAAAACGATAAAAGATGACTAAGACGTGATTGTTACCCTTTTTACAAAATCCTCATAAAGTAGCCATTTCATTTACATAGAAACACACCTTTCACTAAATAATTTCAACTAAATGCATCTTGGAATGGAAAGCGGAGCAACAAGGAGTGAAAACCTACTATATTTAGGCATTTTGAACGATATTACAAGATTGGCCAATGTACAATTTCGTTTTTTTTTAGTTACTCAACCCGTTTCATCAAGTACTCGACCCAGCTTAACCATAGTAACCCGAGACACGATATCTTTTTTTCCTTCGTAGGTATTTTATGTAGGTATATCTGTAAATTTTCCAAACATGCAAGGACCGGTTATTTCCACATATATCTTATATATGGTAATATTGTTGGCTGCCATGCTCCCAATTTATCAGAGAATTTGAAGCTCATATTACCGAACACAACAAAATTCTGCTATGAGACATTAGCGAAGACAACAAGCAAAATGAATACTTAAGTTACGAGGAAGCAGCATATGAAGATTAGAAATAGATTTCAATAAAATTTGTTAAATTGAAGACAGATTTGATTAAAAGGTAAAATGATTCTATACTCTACAGTAAACCATAAGAAATACTACAGTTTTATGTAGGATCAAAAATAGGTACAGTTACCAAAAGAGAACATGAATCCTCATGTAGGTAAAATTAAGATTTCAAAACCTCCATTCAGTTGAATATGTGGATAAGGTTTAAACAACAAACAGGATATTCAAATTCTTCAATCTACATAGTACAAATAAGGTTAATATCGTCCGTCCAGAAGTTGGACTTCTCGATAATTTCATGATGCCATTTATATCTCTCATGAACAATTATACTTAAGTAGATAGGAGTTTTTAATTCTCGACAGTAAAATAAATATTATGTTTCAATACCATATTGCATCGGACAACTTAATTTCTTTCTTTGATGTATCAAGTAAATTATTTCAACAACATGGATTTACTTCTAAATTAAACATCTCATAAGAAGTATTCCATTTGGAATATATGTCTCTAACATTTCGATTATCTCTTAGCCAAGATATACCTGTTCCTCTCGCAAAACTTCTGTCATACCATCACAAAAGAAGTGTCAACCGAATCAGAATATGTAATTTCACTTTAAAAGTGTTGATGGCAAGGCTATTAAAAAGGTATAATACGAGCAAATCTGTCTAACAGGCAAATATTACAGACACAATTAACAGCTCCATTCTACAGTCATTAAACACATTCAAAAAAAAAAAAGTTTGCTTACTAGGTCAAAAATGTAAAATGTTGCATTTATCCAACACATAATACCATAGAGAGAAGGTATTTTAGAAGACAACAGTTGAATTATCAAGTTCTAACCAATTGTAAGATAATGCAAAACAAATCTCATTCTAAACAAAAAAATACTGTAGCTTGTTAGTACCATGCGTAAAGAAAAAACTGAACTGACACATTCCCTTCATGAATGGGAGAGGCTCAGAATTTTGACTACAGTCAATTTTTTCTTTCCACAGAAGAAAAATGCATGCCAAGAACTGCAAATGCCAACGACATTAAAACAAATGATTGGCAGCCTTACAATAATAGCTTGCTTCATGATTCAGATTTTTACTTTGTGGCATTTTCTATTTTTAATACAATTCTAGCAAGTTGCTATATATTTGTTGGACTGCAGTGAACAGCCATATATTTAGCAGTCAACTTTACACCCCAGATCACATAAACATAGATAACCATACTCCAATATCAAAAATCTTGCAATAAACCACAGGAAAAGTAAGGGGTCTTTTGGCAGGAAACTGAGAGCAAAAAGATGAAAAGTATGTAAATTTCTTGAGGAAGATACCTTCAGCGTCCTAATTTGCATCAGGTGGCCAACAATGCTCATCAGGTGATTGATCACTTCCTTTGGGATTTTCCCGTAGCTGATTTGCTGCAGCCAACAGAAACATATAAAAATCTAACTTCTTCTGAAATAGAGCCAATGAAGCGAAAAAAGCTTAAGATCATAAGATAATCAATTAGTATTATGACAAATTGAATTGATGAGACTTCTAATTGCTCTTAAGTACCGCTAGTCTACCAACTTTTCCCAGCTTCTGCTTTATTACAGGTGGCAATCTCCGCTTGACTGCCTGAGACGAATTATCCGGATCCTTAACTTCTGTTGAAGGCGGTCTAACTGTTGTTTTTCCAATATGCACGAGCACAAATGAATAATTGAGCTACGAATTACAGAATAAATATATCATAAGAAGAAAAAAATTAGAATAGCAGTAGAAGTAGTAAGATACATTCTGAAACTATCTTCTCCAACTCTCTGATGGCCTTCTCAAGTGTTGTACTTTTTGATCTAACACTAGCGGCTTCCTTTCTCTGCATGAGGGCGGCCTTCTGTGCGAAATGGTAAAGACAGACAATCATTAGAGATGATTAGCTAAACTGACGGGAAAAAAGCAAGTACCACAAATATAAACGCAGAACAAATGGAAGTGGTTCTCTCTCCGGTCATACAAAAGACGAATTAAGTGACTAATTTCCAAGATCTCTGGGACATTTCGAGTCATTGACTAAAAGCCCAGTATTTTGAAGGCCTAGTCTACACACGCAATTACTTACCGTACTTGACGTAGAGTCCCCCATTGCAGGAACATTAAGGTCAAATCTCTCTATAAGTCCACCTTTTCCTTTTTGTTGAATCGACTGATCTAGACCATCAACATTATTTTTTTGTTTCCCAAAACGGGATTTGCTTGCATCTGAGTTTTTATTATTTGACCTCTGAGTCGATGTATTTTGAAGTTCAGTCTCCTTCAGTTTGCTAACATGGCTTTTCAATGAGAGAACTACAGATCTCTGCTGGTCAGTAGCCATGTTCTGCCTGACGGCATCACCATTCAACAATCCCGAAGGATTTCTTGTAGTTTGGGATTCTGCAGTTTTATTCTTTATTGAAACTTCAGCAGTATGCATTGGAGAAGCCTGACTACCTGAGTTTCTTTGACTCGATGATGTCTTTCTAACTTTATTTCCTATTTTCACATTTTTATTTGGATTATGTCCATCATCACTTCCCCCATGACCTTTTGTCAAATCTTCACGTCTCCTCTTCTTCGGCTGCTGGTTTGTGGGGATCGTAGGTTCACTGCAGAAAAAGTTAAGCTATCATTAGAAGAGTCAAAGACCTTCGAATCATTTGATATAAACACATACAGATTACAGCAAGTTGTCCTGAAACAGAAAGGCAATGTTCCTTTTATGTTAAAATCAAGCAAGTTGAACATAAAACTTTAGTGTATATTCATAGAAAAAAATTCCAGTTTGAATAATGCATTCATGGATCTAGGTTTCTCAACAAAAAAAAGATCAAGCAGTAATAACACCATTGCGTCACCAGTTCTAGTGTATTAAAAGTCATCTTAATTCTGCATCACAAACAACTAAAAATGATGTCCATACTATCCCCATACACCTTCTAATAAATTAAACTCGAAGTTAAATTTGCGTCAGAAGGTGAGCCAAAGGTGTATTTCCTAGATTAGAAGGAAAACTGCAACAAATGGGAAATAAAAATATGTAAGCATTATTTACTTTCTACTTCATTGAATTATTACAGAAGAAAATAATTTGAAGTATTGCAGCCATTTATTTTCTTGTCTACACTTTCGAAGTCTATGAAGCATGCAAAATTCTCCGGTTGGTTTCATCACATGCAATGCTAAGAGACATAAATAGATTACAGCAAAACATAATACATGAATCATAGTTATGTTCTTTTTATCACATTCATCTGAACTAAAACAAACCATCTACCAAAAATACCATCTATTGCACGTAATGTCGTGTAATTGCGAAAGTGCAACTGCGCATAATGTCATGTAATTTTTACCGCAATACCATCTATCAGAAAAATCAAAGTCAAAGTAAAACAAACTCACATGCCCTCCAACTTCCCACGGTTAACGAAAAAGCCATCATGTTTTATCGAGGAGTTATCGATCTGGAAATAGTCGTCCTGTATAGAAGTTAAACTCATCTATTAATGAATCAATAAGTATCAAACATCACTATATCGATTAATAATGTTGCGATCTAGAATACAGTAAATTGATAAAAGAGCAGTACCCACCAACTCAGCATCATCAATGAAGGAATCTTCTGTATCGTACTCATCATCATCAGGCACATTGTCTAGCACAACATCTTCCTCATCGCCACTCCCATTGCCCTGCATGTTCCATGACTCAGAACGTGAAAGAAATTTCATCCCAGTCAACAAAGACTATATTGTTTTAACAGCTATACCAGCATTATCCTCTCCTTACCAAATAACCACTAATTAATAATCTAGGTTGAAAATTCAAGGACGATTTTCACCGCACCACAAAGCATTAAATGCATAAACCTGTAAACCTAGATTTACGGTGTATCGACAATAAACCTCAAACTGGTACACTCGCTAACAGTTCAGAAATGCAAAGGAAAAAATATAAATTCAACCCTAATTTAAACCAAGGACTAGAAACACAAATCGACCCAGTTAACAAGGAAATAATTTTAACAACCAGCATTAACATTATATGCACAATTCATGAATGATTTTGTTACATTTATGAAACGTTTAGATTTTTCTTCTGCATCTACATATGGGAGGGAATCTGCCATAAATACTTCCAAAAAGCGCACACTGGCCAAAGAACCCTAATAAAAACTCATAAAACTCAATCCGAACAAAAATAACATTCAATCCAACATTCCAACTTACCGCATACATTCTCTCGATTCTCTCAATCACGTTGCTCAAACGATTTGGCCCGGCCTGGGCCTGTGAATCCTTCGATTCGTTCTCCAGGTGTTGCTTCGAAGAAGGAGGAGCCTCCAGAGGAGGGGAACGAGCGGGCTGAGAAACGGGCTGGAATTGGGCTTCGGCGGATGGGTCCGAAACTGATGTGCCGGGCCTGGACTTGCTCGAGTTGGCCTCCCTGAGTAACTTTTTCCAAGATACGATTGTTGTTTCTCCGGGCCGAAGCTCCACCGTGAACCGCACGCGGTCACCTGATGATTCGAACAATGACCCGGAATTCGACCCGGGCCTCGAATCGGGCCCGGCACCTTCCTTGCCTTCAACCATCAATTCAGTGTCGTGCCAGCAAATTTGTTAATTTACAAATTAACAAAGAGAAAAATCGATGGAATCAATTTTGGGGGGGAAAACCCTAGAGTGGAGTTGATCAGAGAGTGAGTGAAAGAGGGAAAGAGGATTTTGCCCTATTTATATTTATTATTATTTTTTATTTTTTTATTTTTCGGAAGTCGTAACGGTTACAGGTGTGATTGGTACGAGGAATAAAGACAGACTGGAAAGATTTTTTATTATTATTTCATATTTTTTTATATCGTCAAAAAATAATTTAAGTTTACACAATTTTTTATACTTTACGTGCGCTTTACTTATTTTAATTTGTATTTGAATAACAAAAGGTTTTGAAAATAATTGTTTTAAATTTATATTTCTATACTATTTTTCAACAAATATTATGTATTTATTATTTTGAAAGTTTGTTAATGGTCAAAGAATAATTTGAAGATTAAATGAGTTTTGGAATGGTCAAAAAAAAATTGATTAAATAAGTAATAAAGCTAGCAAATCTTCCATGCGATGCACGAGATTGCAAAAAGGAAAATATATATATATATATATATATATATATATATATATATATATATATATATATATATGATAATCAAATTGTATAAAAAAATAAATCAATATGCGTAAGAGACAAAAGTAATAATACTAAAAAAAAAAAAAACACTATCCCGGATTCTAATTTAGCTAGTGAATTTGTAAGTCTAAATTACTATGAAACTCATTAGAGGAAAAAAAAGTTGGTAATAGTCGAAATAGGAGATGAAAAAAATAATAATAACTAATTTTAGAAAAAAATTATAAAAATGGCATTATGATTTCTTAGGTTTGCCCTAAATTTTTTTACATTTATTTATAAAGATAAAGATTAGAGAAATATTAATTAGGCTAATCTTGCCAACCAAATGGGCACTTAATAGTTAATCTAATTATGGGCTAAATAATTTAGTTTTATATCCTGGGCCTGTTATATAATTGAGACCATATCTTTTATTATGAGCTTGAGCCCAAATATATTAAGCCCAAAATGTATCTTCAACAATTCCATTTTTATTTTATCAAATTATAATCGCGTCTTATAAACGCGCTTTCGAGAAAGCGTCAAACTGAAGTCGTGAGGCTATTTCATATTTATGAATCTCGAAACATAAATTACAGACAACACGCACAGTGATTGTGCTACTCTTTGATCTGAAAATTTTCAGGGGCAGACTGCATTAGGTTACTTTCGGTGAGTGCCATTCGCCCTTCAACGGTGTTTATATGTATGCGATTTACTGATTTTCCGATTTCAATTTTGCCTGCTTTGCTTTTTCTATTAAAACCTAAATTGTACTATTATTGTTGGATTTGAAGTGGAGAAGAGTTAGATTGGAGTACATGATGATTCTAATGTGTTTGTTTTCTCTGATTTTTTTGAATAATTCAAGTAGATTGTAGATTTAATTTTTTCTTCCATGTAAATCCGTCGCTTATGCCACAAGTAGATGCGTTTCTATGCTACCCGTTTCTGATTGGATGCCATTTTTATGGAGTGTTGAAATTTACAGTTGTTCTTGACCTAGATACCCAATTTATATGCTTACATCACTATGTACCGTATTTTCTGGAAGTGAAAATGGTGTAGTAAAACTGTTGAAATCTCGAATCGTGAAGGTGTGTTTGAGTGCGGCAGTCTGAGTTAGCAACGTAGAGATTGGGCAATCGAAGAATTTTAAAGGTCAATGCGGGACTCTTAGGTCTTAGTTTGAGAAGGTTTATAGAATTGCACGATGGAAATGTAGAACACAAATTGGAGGTTCGTTTTTCACATTTTATTGGAGGTTTGTTGAGAAGATGCGTGCAGGCTAATTATGGGTGGTTTAAAGCTGCTCGAAGAATGTTTCGAAGTTAGTTTGCAGATCTTTCTTTACATTTATGGAGCTAGGTTTAGAACTTTGATTAGTTTAGCAAGCTTCTGTAGATGGGAATTTGAACTCGTCAGTTGCAACTGCCCGTTTTTTCGAACTGCTTCATGTGATTTAATGAATTTTATGTATTCATGTTTTGTTTTTCAGTCACATCAATCACATGGCGGGATCTGGGAGTTCGATGCTATATTCTTTTCTTTTGTTTGTCGTCACCTTTTCCCTGCAAGAAATGTTTAGAGTGAAGTTAGCTTCTTCAGAGTTGTTTACTATTCTCGGAGGGTTCACCAGCTCCCTCATATTCCTTATGCTGTTGACGGTAAGAGAATTTTCCCTACTAGCCGCCATCCTTCATCTATTGTAATAACATTGTTGATTGAACAATCAATCATGCTATTTGCACTAAACTTCTTGTTTAGGTTGGCCGATTATACGTACAGTGTCTACCTAGCTCATAATGTTTGGTAATAACTTTGTCGCATCCGTGTTGACATGTCCTGTATTGTATATTACTTTATTAGCCTCTCGATTAGAAGTCACACTGCTTGGATGAGACACATATTTGATATCTAATTGACATACTTCTCCATCTGTGACATAGTTTTGACCATGCATTCTGATTTTGTACACATTATTTATTTGACCGAGACACTTCGAGTACGACTGTGTTGTATGCCCCTGACTTGGATTTTTCTTCTTCAGTTCATTGGTAATTATCAGGAAACATGTGGAATCAAGACAGGATGGGGTGCTGGTAAGTACCACCGGCTTTTTCAGACACTTCATTTGCTTTACGTGGTAGATTTATTAGACATCACATCCCTTTGATATGCTTCTTACCTTGTATACTACCACAAAGCACTTCATAAAAGCTAATACAGTGAATTGATTTGCCCAAATGTGGTTGAAACTGCAAAAAACAAAAGAAAAGAAAAATGAAACAAGGGCGGAAACCTTATAAAAATATTTTCTCCATGCTGTTGTAGCCTGAATTACATACATAATTTTGCTGAACAAATTTGATTGATGCTTAATTAAAATTTAACAATGAATGATGATCCGTTTAACTAATAAGTCTTGACCTTTGTGGTTCAGTTATAACCGCAGAAATAGTGGCGCTTATAGCTGCTGGCACTGTTCATCGAGTTTGCATCACAACCTGGTAATTTCATATTTCTTACCTTGGTCATTATATTTTCTCTTTATAATGTTTTATGGCAGAAATTAGCAAATAAAACCATAAATATAGCTTCCGATAAGAATGATATTTTACCACAAAGTGTTTGAATTTGCAGCTTTCTGTTTTCTGCTGGATTACTATACGAGGTCAACAAACTTTCAGGAATCGCTGAATCTAAAGGTAAAAGGTATTGAGTGGAAAGTGGTTCTTTACAGGATCTGCTCTAGAAATCACCCTAGTTACTCCTATTTGTGATGGGGATACTTAAGAAAGAGGTATATAGGTAAGCTTGAGAGTATGATGAACTTTAACTATGTACCTGGCTAGCCAGTGATCCTTTGATAATCAGATTTTGTGGTTCCCCGTTTATCTTGTTATGTACTATAATGATTTTTAATTATACGAACATGTAGTCGGTGAATTATTTGAACTGTTGAAGTTTCATTTCATCCGGAAGCTATTGCGCGTCACGCTTTCCTCCCATACATTCAACAATATTGCAATATAAAATTCTATGCATGGGCAAAACTTTATGTTGATGTAAGTTTGAAGGTCAAGTTTGTGGTAAGCTTGTTGCAGAATGAATGGGTTTCAAGAAAATGAAATCCTATGGTTGAAATGCCTACTACGCACATCGAATACCTGTCCGGTATAAATATTAAATCGACATCGTTCGAAGCATTATTTATTTTCAAAGATTCCAAGGGCAATTCAGATTCAGTTGTGTGTGAGAAATAATTTTACGATTTTTTCTTATTTTCTTCACTAATTATGATTAAGCGAAGATTGATAAATTTGGTTGGTTGATACTGTGTTCATTGTATTATTTTCAAAAAGTAATCAGGACAACATAGTATTTGTTTGTGATAAAGATACCGACATTGATTCAATTAAATTTTTAGGGTTAATATGCTAAGAGTCCTTAAACATAAACCTAATTTGAAGTGGATGACAACCTCAAATGAAATATATTACCTAATTTCTTGCACCAAAAAAAAAAAAAAAAAAAAAAAGGCGAAATTTGACCCACATCCTTTTATTTTTATTTAACCCATCGAAAATACCCTTAATATAAATAATAATAAATTAGGTTTTTCTCTCATTAATCTCTCTCCCCTCTTTTTTTTTCCAACCATCCCACCGGAATCGTGTTTTCGTCTTTTGAACCGTTTCAATCCTCTCTCTACTTCTCTCATATTTTTGCAAACTAAAGATTTCCATGTCGTCGAAATTTGAGGACCCAACCAGATCTGCTACGGATGAGTAGAGAAGGCTGAAGAGGGAGATGTGGAGATCTGGGTTTCAACTCTTTATCGACTCCTCTCATATATTTGCAATTTGAGGATTTTGGTGCCGTCGAAATTTGAGGACCCAATCCAGATCTGCCACGGAGGAGTAGAGAAGGCTTAAGGGGAGATGCGAAGATTTGGAGATCTGAAAATTTTGAGGTTCTAGGAGACCTCGGCGGTGATGCGGCAGAGGGGGTGGGCGTAGAAGGGGCCAACGGAGATGGCAATGACGGTGGTGATCGTGTTTACAGAGGTGATTGTTATGGTGGAGACGGTGGTTGAGATTATATCGATGGTGGAAGGTGGTTGCATTAATATAGGGTTTTTTAACGCGTTAGGATTTTTGTTGACGGCTAGGGTTTTGTCGATAGGAGTTGGCGGCGGCTGCAAGTTGTTGGCTGCTAGGGTTTGGCGACGGGTGAGAGCTTGTTTTGCTGCCAGGGTTTGGAATAGTACGCCGTAGTAAACCATAGTAGTAAACCATAGTACGCTGTAGTATATCGTAGTACACCAGTATATCATAGTACATCATAGTATATCATAGTCTACTACAGTATTAAGAGCAAATAAAATTAAAAAAAATATATAAAAAAATACGTAAATTAAATTAAAAAAATAAAAAACATATTTTTTTTGTAATTTTCAATATTATATAGAAAAAAAATATTATTTGTTTTACAAATAGTGTAAGAAATGTTAAAATGATGAAAGGAAAAAAACACGTGTTTGTTGTAAAGAAAAAAATGAAAATATTAAATGCAACCTAAAAAGATGATAAATGCAATAGAATTTTACTTAATGCAGAATTCAAATTTGTGTATTGAGGGGTATTTTTGGAACAAATTTTATAAAGGATATGTAGCAAATGTTTAGTTAAGCTTGTCATTTAGTTCTAATAAGTTTTGTCACTAGTGACTTATATCTTAAAGCCCCAAATTTTTATCTTATTTTTGGTAATAGCTAATCTTTCTTTTGAATACCATTCAGCTCGAGTGAATATATTATGTAAAAGTCTCAAATTGTGAAGTAATTGCTTATATAATTAACTTAGGTCTCGTTTGGTTGTCAAGATAAAATCAGTCTAAATAAGACTAAATAATCTAATGAAATCCAATTGTTTTATTGGACATTGGAATGCCCAACAAAAAAATATGCTTAAAAGGCAAGATAAGTCATTATAACATAATTTTTGCGGGTGGACCCGGCAAGTTATTAGGAATATCAAACATCCAACAAAGTCCAACTATTTAGTTAATCATGGATAATTTTCCAAAATGGGGCCTTGGGTGTTAAAATCCTATATAATAAAGTAATAATAATTATTAAATAATAGTAATAATAGTAGTAATAATAAAAAAAAATTAACAACGCGTATTTTAGTTTAGCTCATTCAATTGACAGCCCCATGACACCATAATATAGGTATGTCTCTACCTGTACAATTTGATTTATGTACACCTCACCAACCCCATTTCCTCTCTCTCTCCTCTCTCTCTCTCTCTCTCTCTCTCTCACACACACACACACACACCAGAATATTTCCTTGCAGGAATCTTGCCACAATATTTTGTCGACCGACAAGAGCGAGAGAGAATTTAGTCGCTCAATCGCCACCCCTCTCAATTTTTTTTTTGTTTTTTTTTTTTTTGAAATTTTGCTCCGTCGCTCAATTCATACATTTTATCCTCAAACCGTTGATCATCTATATTTATATCCGATCAACTTTTTGCTTTTGCTTCATCCCCTTCCTTTTTTTTTTCTGCTGCAATTTTGAAGATAATGGACGAATTCGGAGTCCTGGTCGAGAGCATTGGATTCAGAGCCCATGGAAGATCAGCTCCCATGGCGAAATTGAAGCCCAAACCTAAATCGCATACCACCCCCAATAGCACCGTCAACACGTCTTCGTTTGATAATTCCTATTCATTACCTGTTGACGAGCTCGACGGAATATTCCGATCCAATGCTAATATCTCTAGAACGCGGCAATTTCAGAATAGCTTCGTTGATGACGATATTTTCGGCGGCTCTGTTTCTACTTCGAATCAATATGGGGGGATTGATTTTGAATCCGTGTTTAATAGCTCGAATAATCGGACGAATAACAACAGTTGCAATTTGGATTCAAGGAATCCTACAGGTTTCAATGATTACGATGATCTTCTGGGGTTAAATTCAAAGCAGAAAGATCCTGTTGATGATTTGGTTGGGAGTTTTGGGATGAGTTCCAGTGGGAAGCATGATAAAAAGGTGCCTGGTTTGATACCTGGACCCGGAGCTGCTGCCCCTTCAAAGATAATGTATTGAATTTTCCTGAATTTGTGAATTGATATCTAACTGCTTGTTGATTTACTTAATATTTGGTTTATTAGGTACAATGCAGTTCTGAATACCTATCTTTTGCAGCATGTGTCAAATGATTTCGAATTACTAAAGAATTACGAGTGCATGTGTTCTACCTTTCGAATTAAGAATTACTAAAGAATTATGAGTACATGTTGGGTTATTTTTGTGTTCATTTATGGTTTTTCGTTCTTATTTTATCGTGGAGGCTGTCTTATCTATACATTACCTTTAACAGAAACATCACTCCAGTGTCGAAAGGCCGTCCGTCTAACTCTAGCTCAAATGTGATTGATGATCCTTTCTTAGCCTTTGAGTCATCTTTACCTCAGTCGGATGCCTCTTGGTCTTTTGTTGGGTCTGACAAAGATAAAGGAAACGATTCAGTTGAATCTTGGGTTGATGAGTTTGATGATTTCTCCAAGGGTGGGGCAAAGAGTGGTTCAAACGTTGACGGATTTACAACCACAAGTAAGAAGCCAAGTTCCGGCACAAGTTCGAATGGGTTTGAGAATGCCAATTATCTGGATGATATTTTTGGTGGTGGTAATGCTGTGCATCGAAACAATGGAGCAAAACCAAGTTCTATGGCTCAGGTGGAGTAATAAATCAAGCAAATTCTCTGATGTATGCGGATGATGCTTCAAAGAATTAATCGATTTGTTGTTTGTTATGTAGGATCCATTCTTTGATGACTTCTTCCATGAAAAGAAGGAGCCTGAAGTGAAACAAAATTTTCCTCCCGCCTCATTGAGCACAAAGAAGAATTTCTCTGCTACAAATGTAGACAATGATTTTGCTTCAGTTTTTGGAGGTACTTTCACAAACTAGAGCATTCTTTAGAATGGAACTCCTTATAATCAACACCCAATTGATATGCATGATAACTTTTAAACTTTTATCAATTCACTATTAGTACTATATTTTAGTATTGGCTTTCTGTATTGCATGTGATAATCAGTTCTATGGAGGTGCATATATGTTGGTGGGCTCATTAATTAAACCAGTCCTATATAATAGTATTAGCTTTCTCTGTTCCTCAAATGGATCTCTTAGATACTATATGTTTGCAGATGTTGTCACTTCGTCTGGAGAGTTTCATGAAATTGAGGGGGAACCTGCAGAAAGACGAAGAGCTAGGCTAAATCGCCATATGAGAATGAATGAACGCATGGTATGTTCACTTCATCTCTTTCCTGTTTGTCCGTCTTGCTTCAAGAGAACTATCATATTTTTGTTTGATATTTAGAAAAGACTGATTGGGTATCATGTCAGCTGCATTTGTGGTGCTGGGTTAGCAGTTTTCCTGGATAATTTAAACTTCCAGCAAGATAATTCGGCAATCTTTCCTTTAATTTCTTCCATCAAATCATATTAAATGTCCGTCATCATATTTTAACATCAATGGAAACTGAAGCTGCCTTCCTACCACTACCTCACTTTTCTTTTGGCAAAGAGTCCTACACCAATCTAGGGTTATTACCAATTCTGGCTTTTGCAATGACTTCTATGGGTTTACTTACTTAGTTTCCTTCAGACTGTTTACTGCTGTAATCTGTCAAATTCCCCAGTAAACATAATTGAGAGCTGCATCAACTCAAGATTCCTTTACTATGAGCGTGTAATTGCTCTTATCTGGCTCGAATGCTGTTTATAATTTGTGTGCAATGGATTTAAAAACTTTATATGTTCCTGTTTCCAGGCTGGAGCACTTGCTGCAAAGAACCAGCGTGATCTTGAGATTCAGTATGAGCAGGACGAGAAACGTGTAAGACTCTCTCTCTAAAAATGCACTTCCAATTATCACTGATCTTAAAATCTACAGATTTTTAAGTGTCCCCATATGTGTATTCTGGGTGGGAGTAGAGGGTGAGGTTACAATTTGAGAAACTGGCGGATTTTGACTGGTTATTTTGTTACTCTCTCATGAGTTTTGACATGATTACTTCTTCGAGTGATCGATAAGGTGTTAGATTCCACATGCTTCCCTTTTTCTCGCACAAAGACACATACATAGACACTCAAATACGAAGCATACATACTTTCATAAATGAAATCTTTATAGCCTTTTAAATATCCAGAAATATTTATTTTCTTCATTAATCTGATTTACTTCTGATTTCAGAGGCTTGCCGAAACCTTCGAGCATGACATAAAGCGTTGGGCTGCTGGGAAAGAAGGAAATTTACGTGCCTTATTGTCCTCATTAGAGCAGGTAGAATTCTTTAGACATATCATTTTATTTTCTATCCTTTTTATGTTAATAATAATTTGCTGGATAAGGCATGTGCGGAACATCTAGGGATATCTTTGTGGGATGTCTTAACATTTTACAATTGCCTGAAAAATGTAGAACTTATTCAACTGTTGGCTTGATACAAGCACTTGCACTTGAAATTTTAGTTCTGTCAGTTTACGTTGCAAGAATAAGCATTTGGATTTAGTCCTAAGGATTAAGATTGCACCTCAATTTCTCTTGGGTTTGCTGATTATGATTAAGTTTCTAGATCTTGGTTAACTTTTGGTTTGTCCATTACTTGATTTAAAATAATTATAGAGATTAATGGTGGTTGATGAATTGTTTGATCAGTTGATCGGTGCCACAAATAATAGGAAATTCTAATTTGTTTATTTTCTTTTAAAGGCACTTATTGACATATAAAAAAAAAAACGGGTGCAGGTTTTGGGGCCTGAATCTGGCTGGCGTCCAGTCTCCCTGACAGATTTGATTACTTCCGACTCAGTGAAAAAGGTTTACAAGAAAGCAACTTTATACGTCCACCCGGACAAAGTTCAACAAAGAGGAGCAAATCTCCAGCAAAAATATATCGCGGAAAAGGTTTTTGATATTCTTAAGGTATGTATTCCAGCTATGCTTCTTATCATGCAAAATACATTATGTTGTCGACGATGGTTAACTTGTATGCATTTACTGAATATGAAGTTCACTAGCTCATGGAATTTTATGTCTTAATAGGAAGCTTCGAACAAATTTACTGCAGAGGAACTGCGATAATTTCCCAGGATGAAAACTTTCAGGATTCCTTGTGTTCAACCTATGATCCGGCAGGAACCATCAAGAACAAGAAGCTGTATGCTCTGTCAAAGTAATCATTTTCAACTCTCGTTGTGAATTTTCTTTAATGCTTATGTAATGAAATAATAAAATGGTTTGCATGTCTTGTTACTACTTGTACTTCCTTCTTTCCAAATTTAATTAATTTGTGGATGCATATAATTCAACACTATGTTCTATAAACAAGATTTGAAATCAACAACGCTGGACCAGAAGAAAAATTGTTTGATTCTGTCTTTGATATATTTTTTCTTCTCTTTTTGACCCTTGTTAGTAATTTCGGGGAAGGAGGGAAAAGGAGAAAAGAAAAACAAAGCTTAAAGTGGTAGATCTGTAATTTGATTAGGCGAAACTAGAAGGACCTTCGAGAAAAATCTCGATTCATGAACTTAAAATCTTGATTACTGTTTTACCCACCACCACCACCGAAGGTGGTGGCGGCCATCGTCTTGGTGGTGGCCTCCACCACTGTTGCCATCTTACCTTTAACTCATTGGTCATGTGTTTGAACTACTTTTACAGGTGAACTAGGAATCACATTAATATATTCAATTTTGGAAAAGAATAAATTCTGTCAAAAGATTCTCCAAGAAAAATCATAACTTCTTTATTGATGATGATGTAGTGATTTTGCCTGATTGATGCTAGTCCCCACTTTCTAGGGTTCTTGATTTTTCCCCAATTTCCATAACCATCTAATTTCAAATAATATGTAACAATTTCTGTTACATGACTTTGACCTCTGTGGATGGCTTTTGATGATCAATAATTCATATGATTTCATAACTGAGATTGGACACAAAGATATCCTTAGTCCCATGTTTCGTTTGCCTGAAAGATTCTCAAAGACTGCATTTTTGTTTCTTTTATAGCATAGAACAGCCAAGAAGCTATTTCTTTCTATTTTATTTATTCATTTTATTGTTTTACATCTGCCAAGAAACAATTTTTATTAATAAACTTATGTAGAAGAAGAGTTCCTTGAGGACTTTTCATTGATTTATACACTATTTCGACTGAGAAATAGACACAAATTACATTGAAGAAAATATGGGTCTTGAATCTTGATTTCCACATTAATACATACACATATATGTATATCTATATATAATTTCTCCTTCTTTAATACAGTGAAATCAAACAACCCCTTTTTTAGGTATGAACACATCAACTAAATGGAAACCCTAATCCTTGTTTTCTTTAATACCCTTCCCCTTTTCTTGAAAATGCATCATCTACTAAATTGATGATTAGAACTCCACTAATCAGTAATTACCACTAAGTAGTCTTGAAAGGCCTGTAAACCTTGAGATCAGAAACCACACCAGCAAACGAACCAGCTGCAGCGGCAATCGAAATCATCAGACACGCACCGCTCAGAATTTGTAGACTCAACCACCTCGGACTCCATTTTGGGATCCTCTTCTGCTTAATGTACATCTCGACCGGGAAATAGACAGTGAGCGGCCAAAACCCGAACGCCCCTAAAATCCCAACAACATCGTTGAAAAACGGCATGAGCATGGAAATAATAGTTGTGATTATCACGAAAACGGTTCTCCAAACGAGCCTGAAGAGATTGAGCTTGAGAGATTTCAAGCCCGGAATCGGAATCGCGATTTCTTTCGTGATAAATTCGCTGTGTGGGAACCATTCTCGAGCGGTTTTTTCGACAAAGGCGAAGAGGGGTTGGCAGTAAACTTGGTACGCACCGATTAAGTGGATTACAATTGCCGCATTGGCAATATCGAGAAGCCAATAAGGGTTGTAAAAGCCGAAGCCAGTGAGGAGGTTTCCTGGAGACGAGTCTCCGAACGCTGCATAGCCGAAGCAACCACAGGACATGTAGAAGGCTGTTGTTACTACTACACTTAAAAGGGTCGCCTTTTTCATCGTCTTGTATTCCGACGGAGGGGATTTTATCGTGTCCTGTCGTTTCGATAAAACATAGAAAAATGAAATGAAGAATTTGTTTCGTAAAAGTAGTGGTTTCGTGGTGAAAAAAGGAGGAAGAAGTATTATACCTGAATTTCGATGAGAATGAGGGAGTAAGAATAGGCAAAGGCAATGGCGCCGAGAGCTTGGAAGCTTCTCCAAATCTTTTGCGTTTCGGTGACTGTACCGATGCTTATCCCGGTGAGGCTTCCTTTGATTTTTCCATTTTCTGATCGAGATTTTAAAAAAGCCTCGTTAAAATAATTCAAAAATCAAGAAAACGTCGACGGACTTGTTTTACTCGTTAAATTTTTCCGCACCTGCAACTTTTGCAATACCGAGGCCTAAACCGATGGTGGAGTAAGTAAACGACATAACGGCGGCCACAATAGAAAGCCAAGAAATCTGATCGAAATCCGGGATTTGTGAGAAAACGATTTCCACAACACCGAACGCAATCATGTACGGATTGCTCGAAACTCTGCACGGGCTCTCGTGTCCTTTCGAGTGGAAGCAATTAGACCGATCAATTGCCCTGTTTTCCATGCACACATGTTTATAAGATATAAGTCATCATTAATTAATTAATTAATTAACATTTTTTTTCTAATCCATAACAGAACACATGTTGTTGTACTTACATCATGCTTATAGATGATGCAATGGTGTAGCCAATAGCAACTCCGAACAGATTCAAGTACTGAATTGCACCACAGAGCTTAACCTGGAATCCACCTGAAAAATTCAAGGAAAACAACAAGGGCAAAACGGGTATTTCACAACTTGTTCATTGACAATATTGCTAAATTATATATATGAATATATGATCGGTGTTGATGAAGAAAGAAAGAAAGAAAGAAAGAAAGAGAGAAAGAAAGGTGACCTAAGTTGGAACGAACAGCGTCCATGTAGGTGTAGTTCCTCTTGCCGGAGTCGGGGTCGCCGGAGCGGTAGCAAGCGGCGAGAAGGGTAGAAGTGTAATAAGTGACAAAAGAGAACAAGAACATGACAGTGGGACCCGCAATCCAACCCAACTGAGCGGTAGCCCAAGCCAATGACAGAACACCCGAACCAATCACAGCAGTTATTATATGAGCACTCGCCGTCCAAACACTCCCTATACATCAAATTCAAACATCCCAAAAAAAAATATTTAAAAAATAAAAATCAAGGAATTTTGAGAAATATATATATATAAAAAAATACCAGTTCTTTTGAGACGACCATCGTCGTCGAAACACTTGGAGGGAAGCTGAGGGGGTACATTAATGGAGACTTGGTTGAGGTACTGTTGTTGTTGTTGACCTGTCTTGCTCATTTTTTTCCTTTCGTTCAAACTTCAAATCAAAACAAACAAACACAGTTTTCGAGGTGGAATTGTGTGTTAATTTTCTGTTGGAGAATTAGTTTGAGGATGAATGTTGGCATGGCTGGCTGGGGGTATATATAAGCTCAAAAAGATTATTACAGTCAAAAAGGTATTTAATTAAATTATTTAAACTGTACAGTACGTTGCAACAAAAAGCGAAATTCCTCGGAGGAATGTAAATCATGGTAGCGGATCCTGATCTGGTGCCCACAAAGAATCAACTCTCGTTGGAGTTGAAATTCCCATACTGCGGCTGCCAGGATTCGATCCTTGGCCATTGCACCAACTTACCACCTTCATAATCAGTTGAGTTCCACTCATGCGGGCAACTGTAGAAGTACGTGTTTGTGTGAGAGAGAGAGAGGGACGCACGCGCTGTGTATCAAACGGTTAAGATCAGCCCATAAAGGCGCCTAAAAGTAGAGTTTAGTCTTATAACTTTCATCGGTCTTGTTATATTTTTTCTTTATGTTATATATATACATAAAATATATGTGTACCAATTCAATAATATTTTGTATAAATTAATATGGATATTAGTGATATGTGTGTGATTGTCTAAAATTGAAATATGAAAAACTACTCAATGTATTTTTCAACAAGGAAATATTAACGATTTATTGAATTAAATTTGACGTGCAAAATATTAAAAGTTCGAAAACAATGAAACAATTGCTAGAATATAAGATTTTTTATAATAACAATAAAATCAATAATAATAAATCAACAGTCGTAGTCACAAAAATAAAAACGTGCATTTATATATTAATTATTGATCATATATCAGACAAATAGAGTCCAAATGAGGGTTTTGCTTGTAAATGATATATTTGATGAAATAAATCGTGTGATCATGAATCATTACACATAATAACAAATACACAACACATATGTATATGTATGTTTCGTGGATGATTATTTATATATATACGTACCTTAAATCACACGATGTGTTACACCAGATGTAACATCTCATAGATTGATTGAAAAAGTAAAAAAAAATTAAAGAAAAATAATTAATTTTGATGAGTGAAAGTTAAAGTTGGTTTGGAAGGTATAATGGGAATGGGGATTTGACAGGTGGCATTTAAAAAGTTAGTTCGAACCATATGTATGTTGTTTTTCACCCTTTCAGGCAAGATTTTAATGTTGGCAATCTTTTTGCCCTAATTATTAAAACACACATAAATTATTTCGTACAATTAATAAAAAAATAATAAATGTTACAATAATTACAAAACATGCACCCAAGTGAAAAAGGCTAGATTTTTAAACATTTCATCAATTTGAACTTGTTCTTCTCCACCCTTTTAAAAAGAGATTCATATTTGATTATTATCTTCCAATAATTAATAATTCCAAAATAAAATAAAATAAAATAATACATATACGTGAGTGATATAAGCATCAAATATCAGTCAAGTGATAATATTTCTTGCTTGTGGGATTGGAATATTGTCCTTAGTGGGTATTATATTATATATAAACATCAATCATGGTTGTATATTATCTATAGTAAATATATGAATATATATAAATAAATTAATTAATTAAAATTGAAGGGTGGACATTGTTTTAGTATCATATTCTCTCACATGTTCGGTTCCCAGAGTCCGAGGAAAAGAAAGGCTGTTACATAAAGACAATTATATTATTACTCCCATTTTTTTAATTTTTTAATTTTTTTTTCTTTTTTTTCCAATACCTAAAACCTAATCTTAGGTCCTCTAGATTTCTAATATATATATTTATTTTTTCCTTTATAGGAATGATTAATGGAATCTATTTAGTTGGACGAAAAAAAGATTGAGAAAGAAATTGATTTTGGACCATTCAAAATGGCATCTTAACTAAAAGATTAATTTTTTGATATATGTTAGTGGGAAAACATTCTTTCTGTTTACTATGTACACTTGGCACTAGCATCTATTTGATCCCCCCTTAAACATCTAAACATTAACTTTTTAATTAATATATCACTCAAAATTTAGTCTAAAATTAGTGGTATTGGGTGAGTATCTTTCATAGTGGTCAAGTCATATTGTAGTCAATTTTTTTGAAAAAAAAAACACTATGTGACGGGATTACTGGGCCAAACTCCTTATTCTTAATTATTGGGCTAAAGGCCCAATGGATCGAAACTCGTGTTTTTTTAGAGTTGAGTGATACCAACGACGCTGCATAAAGCAGAGGAGCTTGTTGCGCGTCCTCAATGTACCTTCGTTGAACTAGAGATCGTTGGAGAGCTGAGATTGCAGATTTTCTTCGTAAATAACTAAAGAAAAATATGAGATCTTGCGCGACAATTGTTAAGTATATATTTTTATACTTTATCGTACCTTTTTATTTGAGCTTTTGGTGTGATTTAACGATAATTGGTGGTTAAAAAGTTGATTCATTGTATTTTAGGTATAAATTGAAGAATTGGAAAAGTTTGAGGTCAAAACTGCAAATTTGGAGAAAATATGGGCCAAAAGTGAAATAATCAAAAATATGCTGAAATTGGCTGAAAACAGGCCCGCACGGCCGTGCCAAAATTAGCCTATTTTTGGCACGGCCGTGCCAAATGCTGAATTTGGGCAGAAGGTTCAGCGATTCTTGTGCGGCCGTGCGAGAATTGCACTGATTTTCGCGCGGCCGTGCCAACACACGCTGGACACAATTTTGGACTTTTAATCACACAAGGAAACCTAAAATCATCTACCAAGTTGGGACATCTATATAAGGGCAAACCAAGCACGAATTAGAGGACTTTTGGACACAACCTTGGAGCGAGAGGAGCGAGAGAACGAAGAATCGAAGACGGAGAATTGACAACTCTTCATCATAATTCTTCTTTCACCTATCTTTTCTAAATCTATGACTTTTATTACTTTTATTATGTTTTTCGTTATGCGTAGCTAAGTTTTTAATCTAGGATTTTGTTGGAACCCTATGTGGGGATTGTGAACCCGTTTTCTTGAGATTATGCAATTATGATTTTATGATTATTTCTTATATTTGTTATGATTGTTAGTGCATGAACTTGATCAATTTATGTGCTTTATCTGTGATTATTGGGATTGACTCGACAGAGCTATTTTGATAATTAGACGGTAAGTATAAGAACCTTCGAGTAGTTTTCACCGAATGAGTGTGTCAATTGCATGTGGTGTCGTAGACATACAGATATCACCTTAGGTAGCCATTTACGAGACTCGTTAGTTAATGCTTTATTCATAATTGGTTTGCATAGACATATAGTGAATCGTTTATGAATAATAGACTCATAATACACGCGACAGCGGGTTATGAGTAAATTAGTGTCTCGGGTTAATAATCATGAATCATATATTTCATAATTGAGGGGTTTTGGGTGAGCAATTCTTGCATAGGGGGAAGATAAAATCCTAGGTCCGCTTTAATTGATATTTTCCCGTGTTATTTGCTTTCTTAATTAGTTTAGTTGTTTAATTGATTTAATTTGACAAACTTGCGTAGGCTGGATAAAAATCATAATTGTTAGAATTTGGTACTTAGGATTAGGTAATTTGCGTATTCCCTGTGGGATCGACATCCGACTCTCACGAGTCCACTTTATTACTTGTTTGCGATACGTGCACTTGCGTGTTGGTATTTAGCACCCAACAACAATCATAATCGAAAGGAATATGATTTGAAGAGAAGTTCTGAGATCGATGTAGATTTTACGGTGTTAACGAACCAATAGAAAAAAAAATTATCGGTCGAAGAATTCCAACATGAGATCAACTGTTTATAGATAATAGTGTGTGAGTGATATGTACAGGATAGTTAGGTATGTAATAAGTGAATATGTTACACCAACTTGAATTTGGCAACCTTCCATTAAAACATGTGTTCTATAACTCCACCTTCAATGGAGAAAAATGGTCAACGGCCAAAAGGAAGATATGGGCCCCACCCCTACGCCCTAGACTTTATTAGGACTAAGGTCAACTCTGGCAGACCAAATATTTGCAACATTGGAAAGTCAAAAGTAATCTCACTACACTACGTGGCCGAGACTCGGCGTTGACTCGAAGTCTACGTGGCAAATTTATTCAATTTTCTCAATTTTTTTTTTTTTAATTTTTCCTGTAAAAGGGCCAATTTTTAATGGGTAATAATGGGCCTAATTCAATTGATTCAGTAATAAGCCATTTATTAATGGGCCGCACAAAAATCAAGAACCAACATTTTAGTATTCAGTTTTTTTTCTTTTCTTATAAGAAATCTAAAAAAGAAAAGCCCAAAGAGAAAAAAAAGGAGAGATCATCCATGTTCGTAGCGCCACCACTCCGCCGCCGCTTCTCCACCCAACCCAACCCAACCATCTAATCAGCCAAGTGGTGGCGGCGATCATCCAAAACCGCCCCTTCGACACCGCCCCTTCCCCCCACCACCACCAACGCATTTGGACTTCCGAAACTGTAATTCAAGTCTTGCGATCAATCCCACTGCACCTCTTTCAATCCTCAAGATCAATCGGCCGCCAAAACACCTTCCGCCACCGCTCCCCACTCAAGCAAAGAAACCTCAAACAGGAAACATTAAAATATCAAACGGGTTCCCTGATTCTCGGCTCCGCAGCTCACAGAGACCCAACAAGAGTGAATCTCGGGCTCGAAAAAGCACTCGAATTCTACTACTGGGTCGAAACCCACTTCGATTTTCAGCACAACGAGCAAACGTGTAAAGAGATGGCTCTTGTTTTAGTCAAGGGCAACCGAATGAATTTATTCTGGGATTTTTTGAAGAATATGTCACGTGGTGGGGACAAAAGATCCAATCTTGTGACAACCGTTACTATGACATGCTTGATCAAGGCTTTGGGAGATGAGGGTTTGGTGAATGAGGCGTTGTCTGCATTTTACAGGATGAAGCAATTTCGCTGCAAACCCGATGTTTTTGCTTACAACACTGCGATTTACGCTCTTTGCAGAGTTGGGTTTTTCAAGAAAGCTAAGTTCTTGTTCGGGCAGATGGATCTGCCGGGGTTTAGATGCCCGCCGGACGTGTTTACCTACACGATTTTGATTAGTTCGTATTGCAGGTATGCGATGGAGACTGGTTCGAGAAAGGCAATTAGGAGACGAGTGTGGGAGGCGAATCATTTGTTCCGGTTAATGCTGTTTAAGGGTTTTGTTCCTGATGTGGTGACTTACAACTGTTTGATTAATGGTTGCTGCAAGACGAATAGGATTGGGAGGGCGTCGGAGCTGTTCGATGAAATGACTAAGAGAGAATGTGTGCCTAATCGTGTTACTTATGATTCCTTCATCAGGTATTATAGTGCCGTGAATGAGGTTGATCGGGCGATTGAGATGTTGAAGATGATGCGAGAAAAGGGTCACGGTGTGCCTAGTTCGAGTTCTTACACACCGATAATTCATTCCCTTTGTGAAGTGGGGAGAGTTGAGGAGGCGGTCGATTTAGTGGTTGAGTTGTTTGAGGGGGGCTCGATTCCTAGGGAGTATACTTACGAGGTGGTGTGTAATGCTTTAGAGAGGGAAGGAAAGATGGATTTGTTAGATGAAAATTTGTGTAGGCACATTGAAAGCGGTATCGAGAATCGGATTAGACAAGTAAAGAAGGTGAAACCTACGATGAGGAGAGAAATGAGTTGATTATGGGATTGGTGAATTTTTTCGATCTCTGAGAGAAATTTGTATGTAATAATCAAGTTCCTCAAAGTTGCAATTTACATTATGAATTTTGAGAAATGTCTCTGCCAAAAGTTGTTGATCTTTCCAATACTTGAAGATCCTGCAGAAAGTGGTGTGTATGTTTTCTCGTATCATCTGTTTCGAAATTTGGGGTGGGGGGCAAATATAAAGAACTTAAAGATACAAAACATCAGCATATTCAGATCAAGCACATCTACAAGACTCGTTAAAATTCAATTTCCTGCAATTTTCATCATCTGTACATCTCAACAACACATTCCTAAAAACATCGTCCGATTAGAAAATGTCGCAATGAAATTAGTAAATATAGATTCAAATATCGAACATAAGAGCAAAGCCTTTCCTGAATCAACCAATCAATCGATCATTCGTCAAATCCGCCAATCTAAACTCCACTCGGTTCCACCCATGCATGCATGTCATATAAGACCAAAGATCAATCAACGCTAATAAATCGATCGAAGCAAGTTCAACCGTTGGATCAACCTAAACCAGATTTAGCCCCAGATACAGGCCTGAGCATGGGATGACCACCAAGGGAGGGCTGTGAATGTGAATTTGATGCAGGGTTAAAAATGGGATTAGAGGCCGAAGAAGAAGGGTGTATAGCTGAAAGAGGTAGCCTCGGACCAAGGCTATTATACATAGCCTGTTGCTGCTGCTGCATAAGAGCCATGTGCGGATGGATGGGTTGGTTATTGCCGTATCCAGAAATGGAAGGCTGCTGAGAGGAGCTCGAAACTTGCTGCCGATTATTATTACTATTATTGTTTCCTGCTGATGTATTATTTACAATGGCATTGGGGCCCACACCTGGTAAACGTGCCGCTACTCCACCAGATCCAAACTGTGATGACATCATGAGGGCCCGCTCTGCAGCAATCCTTTGCCTTGTTCTTTCCATCTGTTCGCATTCTCTCATTAGCAAGGTCTCCACTTCTGCAAACTGCTTCAGCTTCAGCTCTAATCTTTTCAACTGAAACAAAGAGTGAACTGTATAAAGTTAATGCATAAAACGGGATAAAGTTCTACTGTGCAAAAGCCAACAATACTAGACAATGTTATCAACTCAGGACCAATTTGAATAAATTTATGCATGTTCGTGACACTAGACAATTTCTACCCCGTTCATTAGATAACAACCCATATAACTCAAGCATAACAAGATAACCTAAAACAACTAAGTTTATAGAACTCTCACATACGCAAAACATAAACATAATTTTAGAAAGACTAGCCATGAGATATTATCCAGCCTAGTAACAACAACGATATTACCTGATGGTTTATGATATTAGCAGATAAACGCTGAATTTCACGCTCTTCGTGATCAGCAAAGAGCTTTGCCTTCATGGCCGCAGCAGCAAGTCCATCTTCTGCAGCAGCTCTCACTTTTTCAGCAGATAACTGACCACCTTCAGCGTCACCTTGGCTCAGAGGACCTTCAGAGAATGCCACTCCGTTAGCAAACAGGAGGAAAGTAGGAAAAGGACAATAAAAGCTATGGTTATACCTTTTTTATGAGAATTTGTGATACCTCCATTAGGAATCCCTTCAGTGCAACTATCCTTGGACAATGAAGACAAGGATGCATGGGCACAGGCAGCAGCCACTCTCGGCCCCAGTGCAGAAGCAAGAAAGGCTACCTGTAACGAACAGCACCGTGGGCTTTATCAAAACACAACAAAAACGAGAGAAGAATGCATTTAAACGGGTGGGGTAAAAGGGTGTGAAAAAGAGGAACATCGGTGTGAAGAGTAATGTGGCTGTATAATTTACATACAAAACTTCAGGCAAAAATTTACACACAGTATTTAGAAAAACAATCACATGAAAATTAATGGTGTTCTCCCCAAATATTCTCACAACACAAAGGAATACTAGTATATTACAACTCTTAATGTCCAAGTTGTTTGAATGTGCCACAACAGTTGCCAACCATAGAAACAAGGGC